ATATTAAAATATTATGACAAACGTCAACAGGAGGCGGGTGTAAAGAGACGCGCCTCTGATTGGCCCGAAACCGCGTGAATACGAAACGAGAGACAGGAACATCACCTACCTACCTTCCTCAAACCTCCCTTGTTTTGCCCTTCGCTACGCCCGTTCCCTTTTTGCTCCGGTGACTGAAATCCAGATGAGAATTCCGGGAGCGGATGTAAGGGGACCAGGTGCTAATCCAGTTGAGAATGCGCGGTCTTCCGGTTTTTAATTCTATTATTCTTTTGTATCTCTAAGAGGGCTCGCGCGGTGTCGAGTTAAACTCTCTCTTTTTCTCTCTCTCTCTCTCTCTCTCTCTCTCTCTCTCTCTCTTTCTCTCTCGGCCGAAACCATCGCGTGTTTCGATTTTATTTAAATGCGGCTCTTTTTTTTCATGTTCTTTGTACAATGAAAAAAAAAAACAAATTTCCGTGAATTTAAAACTCATCGATTCCACAGACCGAACAAAAATGCATACTTGGGGGGAAACTGATATGATCAATCGAACGTTCAGTAAAACAGAAAAACGACAAAAGGGGATATCGCAAAATAGGCCGGTATTCGATGCAAAATACAAATAAAGAATCGACAGCGAATCTGATTTGGATTCATCGTGCAAGCGGATCATCGACACCGGAGTCGGTTTAAAACGTCCGGCTCTTTTTCGCCGGCTTTTTTTTTCCACCCCCTTTCCCCCTCATGCAAAAGCATCTGTAACGCGAGCGAGCGCGCGCACACACGAAGCGCCGAACGAACCGCGCACGTAGTTTAGTTCGCGCATCGTCGACATGCAGAAAAGCGCGCTGAATAAACACTCCTGACAGCGTGCTTGTATAACGAGTTTAAAATCTAACGATATCCCGTCGGTTTAAAACACGCTCTCGTCGACGCTATATATCGAACAATCGCCGCCGCCTATACACAATACAAAAAATTTCGATACCGGGTTTGTATTCATTCTCCGCCTATTGGCTTGATATCGATACCTTCTCTCTCTCTCTCTCTCTCTCTCTCTCTCTCTTCTCTTCATCTAACGAGCACAAATTACGCAACGATTGGCATTGATTGCGCATTGCTGAATACAATTACAATTGCGTCATTAAGTAGCTACGCGTAAATTCGAAATTTAGACGGACGATTTCATAATGAACCAATATTGCTCTCACAATCGCGCAGAAAGAGAGAGAGAGAGAGAGAGAGAATAATAAATGTCGACGTACACTTAAACGTTCGGCGAAAAATTACGTATTGATGACTCGCGAAGAAGAGAGCTGCCGAACGAGAGAACTTTCGCGGGCAGATCTTTGCTACCCTCCCCCGGCAGATGAAGCGGAAGACGAGGCTGGCAGAAAGTTCCGGAGCAACCGAAAGTATATCACGACGGGTGTACATAAGGACCTCATATACACAGCCGTGGGGGAGTTTCGATGTGGGTGGTTACCCCGCGTCGCGAGACGAGGGGAAGGGGAGGGAAAGCGAAGGAATAAATCCAAACAGTAAACAGAGCAGAGCTCTCTCTCTCCTGCGGGGAAACGTTGGTGAAAATTCTAATATATAAAAGATATGAGAGAGCTCCGCTCCCTCCGCGCGCGCGCGAGGGGGTTGAAGCCTCGAAGAAGCCTCCGGGATTCAAATAAGTGGCGTTACGCTTGCTGGTACCGCGGGTGCGGCGGGGAGGAGGACAGGGGTCGAAGGAATCTGAACAGCCAACAACAAGCGCAGCCTCCGACCTTTATTTAACCTTTTCTTAAAAGAGTCTTAGGAGTCCCTCTTATCTGCAGTCGATGGCCCTTCAGCGTCGCGGCTCTTATACTTTCATTCTTCCGTACTCTTATATCTTTTTCCTTTGCCCTCTTTTTCCTCTCCTCCCTCCCTATCACCGTGTACACACGTCGAGCTTTATCGTTTTTTTCCCATGCTCCTATCCTCCTTCTCTACCTCCCCCTGGAAAAACCCTTAAGTATCTGCACAACCGGTAACGCCATCCCCTTTCGCGTTGTCGCGGTTTTAGAAGAACTTCTTCGTTTCTTCTTCGTTTAAGAGAGACGTTCAGAGGAGAGAGAGTTCGTATTAATTAATGAATTAAAGAACGGACCGCGAGGAAACGAAATGGATTAAACGGCGCGCCACCGATCGCCGCGCATTTTCATTAAATTCCGTGGACAAAAAAACGACGTCGCAATCCGAACTGTGATTTTTTTTTCTTTGTTTTTAGTCGCGTGACAGAAATGTTGCTTAAAAAATATCAGCGCGGTTGTTTTGCGAGTGTTTACTTGATGTACGTATGGAAATAAACTGTCGATGTTATCGCTTTGTTTTTTTAATCGGAATGAATGACGTTATTCTTACGCAAAGGCAAACATACACGCGCTCGCACATTTATTGATGTTATTTATATTTCAGCAAGAAATAAAGACGACTTCTTTAAATTTTAACATACAATCGATGTTAATCTGCGCGTGACAATGTGTTGCGTAATAGAACGTAAATGAACTCGCAGCACGTTGAAAATAAAACAATTCAATGTCGATTAAAAATGAAACTACTTACAATCACATATTTAGTCTTATATGTGTTTTTAAGATCTTCTTTATATTCTTTACGTAACGTGTATTTAGGATGAGGGAGAAAAAATATAGTTTTCGAAGCTGATAATAAAAATGCCTGGAAAGTTGCGCGGAAAGGGAAAGAAAGAGAACGAAAAGCCTCCGCTCTCTGGTGGCTCTCCTTGCGTTGTCACACGCGCAAAATTCTGACGCGCGCTTTTTCTTCTGTTTTCTCTCGTCGCCTTCTGACCCTATCTCTCTGTGCGTCCTTCTTTTTCTCTTTTCTCCGTCTCGCAGCGAAGAGACTTCGGGCCGAAACGCCACGCGCTGGCACTCCTGACTAAACACTGATAACGCGCGCCGCGGAATTTCTTTGCATGTTATAAACATACGTAATCGTACACAAATAAGATTAGCATAGGCACTCGGCATGCCGGATCTGCAAGAGACACACGGGGGTGTCTTTTCTCTCTCCGCGTCCGCGTGTGACAATCGTTTCGTTCGCGCCGGGAGGAGAGTCGTATTTTTCAAATTTTATCACATCGCCAACGTCTTCGACGGAACGTTTTGATCCGAACTGAAGGACCAAGACGTCGTTAGGTCGTCGCTACGACACGGGTATATCGGTCAAATCGACAACGCGCTTGAATACAATATTGCGCGAAGAAATTATTTGTCATAAACGTCCGGGAAGGTTTGACTTCACTGGATAATTTCGAAATCCGCCGTCTGGACGCGCAACAAAGAGTTTTTGTTGCGCAAAGACAAACGAGAGAAAAATGATTAATTCCGCGGAGAATATAGAGACATACACAGAGACTACGTCTTTAAAAACACGTACGTCTTCGACAAGCTGTTTTGCCGTTCTGTTATTACTCGATGAATCTTTGGATTGATAAATATTTGCGCAAGCAACGCGTTCCGAGACACGTGTGTTTGTGGTAATTACTTTGTTGCGTGACGATTGTTTGTTATGCAATTCGGTTTCGGTCGGAGGCACGAAGTGCAAGGCCACAGCCGGGGCGAACGAATTGGAAATATTTTCAATTGAACGTGTCTTGCGCGTTGCATTGTTTATTATTGTACGTGATGCAACATGTGTGTTTGAGATTTATGTGTGTATATTTTACAGAGAGATATATAGATAAGTATAACAATATTCAATACAAAACAAAAACCAACGTACAAAACTTTTTTTCCGCCTGTGTTTTTTTTTTACGTGTACGTTGCGAAATGCAACGGTGTGACAATAAGGTAAAACTAAAGATCTTCTTTTTTTCTGACGTCGCGGAGAGAGAAGAAATATTATTTATTTAACGATTTAATGAATTGATAAAACTTCATCGCGCGCGCAAGAGTTAAAACCTACCGTTTAAAATTTACCTTGTAAATATCTTACGATAATACCACCTTGTTGCAAATCCAATTTTCATTGTGCATTGGAATTTAAGTTCTCCGTCTTCGCGAAACTCCGTCGGGGAACGGCGCGATATAAGGCTACGAAAATACACGCAAGTTTAAAATTATTTTAACAGAAGTTTTGCATCTTCGCGAAACCTAATATCAGAGAAAGTTCTTGAGCGATATTATTTTTTCTTTTTTTTCATTTTCGCGAGTGTGTATACGTTCAAAAATATTCTAATTATTATCGCGAAGCTTCACGCGAGGACTTGGAAATTATTTCCACGGTGATACACGGACGCGCGTCTTAACGTAACAAAAGACTAGTAAATTTCTCCGAGAAGTCGTCGTCGTCGTCGTCGTCGTCGTCGTCGTCTAATACCGTCCCATTATACCATACAATAACACAATAATAATGGAGAACTTATCGAGACATCTGGAACGCGCCCGAAAGTTTCGTCGACCCTCGACGACTGGTACCCTCGCAGCAAGAAAACTGTGAGGCGCGCGAGAGAAGCCGTGCGCTCAGAGAGAGAAAGAGAGAGAGAAAGAGAGTTCCGCCTTTACACTCGACAATTCTCCGCTTGATGATAGAACTTAATAAAACAAATCTCGCTGTGTAAACAGCCGAGGAGACTCGAGCCGACGTCATTCAGACAACAGCGAGTTTTCCTTCGAGCCAGCCAATGATGACGGAGCAGCCGCGCGCTGGTCCGCGCTCTCGAATACCATTAGATAAGATCAATATTGTTCAAAATACATTGGAAGTTTAATGCACGCACATTATATGGTATTTATATCATGAATATTCCGCCCGGAGCTGTCTTGCATCCCTTCCCCTCGCAAAACCATCGCCATTCTCTTCAATCCCTCGCTCATTATCTCGTGTGATTTTTATGTGAATAATTATTTTACATGTATAAATAGATATATATACTTTTACATAATGTTTTTTTTTCGCGATTTTTCTTCACGAGAGGCACACAGCCGTTGATCGAGCTCTCGATTCCCGTTTTCGTATTGCAGGCTACTTCGCTGTTTGCAGCCCTGAAGCAGCAGCAGCAACAGCAGCAGCAACAATCGCGCGACAGCGTTTTTTCGTCGCGGGACCGCGACAGGGATCGTCTGTCTGCAAGTCGCAATCGTGCAGACTCCGGCAGAGGCAACATAGCGGAAACCGGCAGTGGTAGCGGAGTTGCTGATCAACAGCAGCAACAGCAGGATCTCAGCATCGAGTACCAAAGCAATGGGAAGCTCAGTCCCGCCGGACACGCAGTGACAGCAGCACCCATGACACAGCAAAAGCAGCCGATCATCACGCAGCAGTCGCAACAGCCCAGCTCGGGGGCACCAGGGCCCCAACCTAGTCCGCATCAAAGCCCGCAGGCCCCACAGAGGGGTTCACCGCCGAATCCGTCACAGGGTCCGCCACCCGGTGGCCCGCCAGGGGCTCCGCCCTCGCAAACCCCCTCACAGATGATGCTCAGCTCGGCGAGCGGCCTCCATCAGATGCAACAGCTACTGCAGCAACACATACTCAGTCCCACGCAGCTGCAGTCCTTTATGCAGCAGCACACGTTGTATCTGCAACAACAACAACAACAACAGCAACAACAGCAGCAGCAGCAGCAGCAGCAACATCATCAGGTGGAATCCCTCTCATTATAAATTCTGCTTATATTCTTGTTAATTTGTTTATATTGTTAATTTTTCAGTTTTTAATTTTATGCATATTTACTTATTTGTTAGTTTGTTCGTTTAACTGTTTCTGTTCAGGATTCATCTTCCGATCATGCGTCTAATCAGGAACGATTCGGCTATTTCTCTTCTTTGAAGAATGTGAGTACATTTTTTAAATTTTTGGTTTTTGTTGTTTTTTTGTTGTTGTTGTTTTTTAATCGCAACCACAGCACATCATCGATATTTGAAAAAACAAAATGCGTTTTACGTTGCGTCTATTGTGGTGATCCGCTTCTTTATTGAACAAACGAAACGGAAACCTAAGACACTTTCGTCAGAAAGCTAATCTTTAAAAGAGGTTTTGAATTTCGGTGTGTGCGCGCAATTCGCGGCCGACGGACTACCGGGAACTTCGATGCCGCGGCGAGAGGGTTGATACTCTCGGGTCTGTGTAAACAGGTAGTCCCTTCTATATCGTTACGATAACAATACACGTCGCACCGAACCACTTTTGCTATCCAGCCGCGGTGTTATCCCGGCGCCTACGATCCAATAAGCACTCTGATATTCTTTTTCAAAAATACCACAACGCGCACGGCGCGACACAACAAATATTTTTCTTGTCACCGTGTAGTTTATTGTCGCAGAAACTATTCTTCGCGTAAGAAAGGGAAACGTGTGCGTCGGACTTTTGCGCGCGGAAGCCGAAGAGATTGATTTTCCGAATGTAGAATTTATTCGCTTTTGTCACGTTGCGTAAAACTCGGAAAATGCTCATTAGCGAAACGGTGTTTGCGGCCATTAATCGCGCAGTTCTCGTTTATTGTAATAACACGATAAAGGGTATGCGTACTTCGGGGTTTGTTTTAAAATATCCTCGAGGCGCACCGAGAGACCGAGAAATGAAATAGACGGGGAAGGGAAGGGGATTGGAGAGTCGAGAGGGTGAGGTAAGCAATTAAGCATCGCCATCAGCCGTTGTGTCTCGGTGTTTGTCTTCGAGGTACCCATCAACTGCCCTCTATCTTCTTGCCCCTTCGGTGCTGCGAATTATCTGCGCCTGTGATTTATTCATCATTCCAAGACGCAAGTACCATCTCTTTGCTCCTTTTTTTTTTCTCTTCCTCTTCTTTTTATTCCGCGACCAACTAATTTCGCAAGAGCGAGAAATGTTCACTTCTCTGTGGACGGTTTAATAATAAACTGTCGAAGACACCGTTTGTGATTCATAATTAATTATTTTGCTCTTTCACCCGAAGGCATCCTGTGGACAGTTTTGTGTAAGGTTTTCTTCTCAATGTAATCAACAACGATGTTTATAAAATATAAAAAGATGTTTTAAATATTGTTTGTCGTGACAAAGAAACGATCGTTTGAGCTGACGGACCACATGTGTTTGCAAAGCGTCACACCGTTTTGTTTCAGCATCAACATCAGCTCGCAGAACTCAACAAGAAACAGCTCGAGCAGGCGATGCAGCAGTTGCAGGAACAGTTACAGCTGAACTTATTTCAGCAGACGCATTTGTTGCAAACGGCGGACAAGAAGAAGGCATCGGCGCCTCTCCAGCAACTGGCGATTCAGCAACAACAACTGATACAGCAATTGCAAATCACGCAGAGGCAGTATCTGTTGCAGCAAGGTCTGAGTCTTCAAGGTCACAATCCTTCTTCAGGTATTTATTTATATAACGCGAAATATATCATCGACAGAGATGGTCCAGAGATTGGAAAATAAATTCCATTCCGCAACGCGCTTCAATAGCGTTCTCGTTCTTTATATCTCTCGCTTTTATTCTCAAAATTTTGTAATCAGGTTTGCCACCGAGTGACAATTTGTCGTCATGGAAATCCGAACCGACGGACACTCCGGAATCCCATCAGAATTCAAACGTGTCGAAATCCAACTCCGGATTGAACGGTAAACAAAAAACCAATAGTTCCACGCTCCTCGGTCTTTATCTCGAGCTGGCTCGTTTTTTTTGTCTCATTCTCATTTCTCCTTGCTTATGTGTTTTACTTTTGCAAATGCGAACGTTCGTTTACCGGACTATCGCAGGCATTCTGAATTCGATAGCTTCAAACCGACGATCCGAGGTGAACGGTACAACGCCGTTGGACGAGAAGCCACTGGACGTCTCCTGCAACGACAAAGTTCATCCCCTCTATGGCCATGGGGTTTGCAAGTGGCCAGGCTGTGAAGTAATTTGTGAAGACTATCAAGCATTCCTTAAGTGAGTTTTCTTTTTGATTTGTTAGTTTTTTTGCGTTAAAATCTCAATATTTCTTATGTCGTATAATGTTGTCAAAAAATTTATCAATTTTTTATACGTACTAAATTTATAATTTATTAGAATTATTAACGAACTCATACACGCTATATTACATACGACGTAAATCAACTCGGATTTTATCGGGGTCTGAAACTAAAAAGCGTGTGTTTTTTTCGAAATCTTTATTTGAATTTCCAAGCAAGTCGGTAAACCCGCGGAAGAAGCTCGAATGCTTTGAATACAATGGAAAAAGTCGAAGAAACGGAAGGAATAAAGTCGACAATTAAATTGGGAGGAATGAGACAAAGGAAGTGTTGAAAAATCGTTCGTGTCAGCGTATCTCATTGACATCGGACCGTTTTCGCCCATCGAATTCGAAGCCGCAACCGCAAACTGGAACTCCGCCGGGGGTTTCTTCGTAATCACGTAGCTCGTCGGTGCAAACTCCCTCAAACAAGCCGTTACTTAAAAAAAAAAAAAAAAAAAAAAAAAAAGCACTAATTACCTTTGTCTCATTAATATTCACGACATTCGACCGCATCGTTATGCCCCTCGGTCTAATCCCTTTCTGGCCCCCTCCCCCTCTCCTCGGTTCCCCTTGAGTCCGTTCAAACTCCCTCGACCTTCCCGCATCTTCGTTCTTAAGCGACCAACTCGCTCTCCTAGTCATCCTTTCCTCCACCCTCGCCGATACAGCCGTCCGTTCCGCCGACGAAGAAGGATTACGGAAATTCTTAAATACGAAATCTTGTTGGCGGTGTTGGCACCCCCGTCTCTCGTTCCCTATCTACGACGCGGCGAAGCTTAATTTTCCGTTCCCGCCGTCTCCTCGGGGAAGGAGAAGAGGAGCGAATCTTCATGATTGGAGAATGGAAGTGTTACACGTCCCGGATCTTTTGCTCTTTGACGCGCAGATATTTCTTTTTTTTTTTTTTTGCACATCAGAGAAAATTGTAAGTTCGTTTTCGGAACTGTCGAACGATGTATAAATCACGCGGGAATGTCGCGCAACTCTCAGTTAAATGTCTCCAATCAGGTGAAACATACGATGAGATCAAAAGATGAACGTTTTTCTACTTAATAGTTAGACACAAATGAAAAATAGACAATTCCGACGTATCAAAGTGCTTGAAATAAAAGTTGCACGAAATGTAAACGCGATGAGATATATGTTCATTTTAATTTAATTTGATATACGATTCTGATCACGGTTGTGTGTGTGCGTGTGTGTGTTTTTATTGAATCTAATTTAACGAAAAAAGTCGCACACGGTTGCGCGCGATTAACGTTGAAATTTTGAATGTATTTTAATTTTGTTTCGCGGTTTTTGTTTTAATTTAAAACGCCACACATTTTCTTATACACACCAGAACTCGCGTTCGTTGCGAAACGCGGTGACGCATGGTGACGAACGGTAAGCTGGAGTTGATCTTGAAATATTGCAGACACTTAAATACAGAGCACACGTTGGACGACCGATCAACAGCGCAAGCTAGGGTTCAGATGCAAGTGGTGTCGCAGCTAGAAATTCAGTTGCAAAAGGAACGAGATCGATTAGGCGCCATGATGCATCATCTGCATATGGCGAAACAAATGGCTTCCCCGGAACCACCAAAGTCATCCGAGTCTTCGGTGAGTTTTAGATCTCATTTGTATAATTCTCTGCGCGTATGCTTCGATATTACGTCGAATTAAAAGCGAGCCTGTTTTGAACTTTGTGAAAACAACGGAAGAAAAGTCTCATTTACTTCGAGAAAAGTTTTGTTACAAAGTCAATTGTGGCGCACTTAAGGCGAATAGAATTGACACTGAGAAAACCGAATCCGGAAAAACGATCCGGCGACCGCGATGCATAAACTCACCCTCTCCCGCAACCCTCGGAAGATCGTAAAGTCGGATTTTCACGACGGAGCGGCTCGCGCTGGAAGATTTTACGAGCTTCTCGCTAACAACAACGCGAGTTTCAGTTTTAACGCGCCGCCGAGTTGAGCGCTAATTTATACATAAAGTTTGCATTAATAATTCATCGAGACCGCGCGGTGATTTTATATCGCCTTAATTAAAACCCCTAACAAGTTGGGCAGTCGGAGAATACCAATATCGCATTAGCCCTCCGCCAGCGAGCGACAACGCTCTCCCGACAGCTTAATTATTTTAACGCGGCGCTTCGTGTGCGAATGATCCCCGCTACACGAAGATCGGATTGCTTGTATTAATTCATTCACACACAGTATGCGTGTAGCTTGTGCGTTATTGCGATATTTAATGATATATATATATATATTCATTCATTTTGCGCATATTAAATCCACACAGCTTTTTCAAACACATATATAGATCACATCTATCAACTTCGCGAAAAGGAAGACGATATAAAAATTTTTTATTTTTACTTTTTTTTTTTTACAGTATCGAGAGTATGATTTTTCAGTGTAATAACGATTCAAATTACTCTCATTGTATTTTCTCTTTTGAGAAAAAAAAACCTAAACCTTCGCGTTTTAATCTTGCGGTTACTTCACGCTCTTTGTCTCTCTCTCTCTCTCTCTCTTTTTCTTGCAATCCCGGTTCTTGCGTTTCCCACGTCGTCGTAAACTCTTTTTTTTTTTTTCAGACGGGCTCGAGTTTACCAAAGCTAAATTTTTCCACGGCGCTGATGAGTCAGCCGCCACCTAACTTCGGGGTCTCTCAGGTGTCGCCGGTATCAATGTCCGCGCTGGTGTCCGCCGTGAGGTCACCCGCGGGTGGTCAGCTACCCCCATCAGCTGGTGGCGCTCCGATGCCACCACTTCCGACCATACCCAACATGTCCGGTTTGCCACCGATGCCTAATATGCCTGGCAGCATGCCGAGTATGGCCGGCCCGATCAGACGACGCATCAGCGACAAATCGGCTCTTTCTCTGGCAGGAGGTAAGGTCTTCTCTTCATTATCTTAAAAACTCTCGATATATATAACAAAAAAAAAAAAAACACTCTTGTCTGAGAATCAGATGCGTCTTCGAGCGAATTAGAAATTAAAACGAAACGAGGGTCGGAGAATCGTACATTGTTTTATTGTCAAGATCAACTTTCTTATCGTCAAATCTTGCCTTGACGCTCTTCCGTTTTGCCTGTTTCCAAGGAAAATGGTTGATCGAACAAAATTGTTCTGCTTAACGACAGTAGCGGTGCACGATTTGCGTAAATACATGTAACGTAAATTTATACATGACAGTCGTTTAATTTTAATGAAACTTAATTGTTTATTTACGGTATAGATGAGAATTTCAAAAGTACAAGATATGTTTTTCAATATTACACGTAACCATTTTCCGAACTGTAGCTTTGATACTTGAGATGCGTGCGATGAGAGCTTGGAAGTGGATTAAATATCGTCTCAAAGAAAGGTGAAACGAAAGAAATGACAATTGAGAAATTGAATACTATTCGTAGGACTGTATGACGAGGGCACTGTAAGGCGCAGAGTAGCCGTCGATAGATCTGGAATAGATATTAACGAAGGTAACGATAATCACCAGAATCATACTCGGAGTGACGCGCGCGCGCGCGAGCCTCGAAACGCCATTGTGTAAGAAAATTTTTATTTTTTTACGTGTTACTAAAATTTTTATATCGAGAGAGAAAATGAGGGGAGTGTTTTCTCTCAAATCTCTCATTGTGGAAATATATATTTAGAAAAACAGAATTACGACAGAGAGAGAGCAAATTGTATTATTATTTCGAGGGAAGAATTATTGACGCAAAATTGGAAACATCTTTGGGTCGGAAAACAAACGTACGATGTATTTTAAAACATTTCTCGATGTTGTTGGGGCGCAATACACACAAACGTTTCCGTGAACGAGAGTTCGATAATTTTATTTTTATATAATTAGAGTGATTTGTTTCTCTTTTTTGTTTTGGCATTTCGAGGTTCGTCACAGAATCACGTTCGCTCCGATGAAACAAAAAAAAAAAAAAAAAAAAGTACCGATCCTGTAGCAAGTGCTCTTTACGGTCCTCTTTTGGTCTCGTGCCTTTTCCTGTCGTAAATTGTACCACACGCACAGATTACTTATGGTAGCGACTGTTACGTGAAGCGACAGTGCTCGACACCTTGTTGGCGGCGTAGGACGGGGGCATATAACAGGGTATACGTAGAGAGGGATAGCAAAAGAAAATTTATGCGATGAGAGAAAAAAAGAGAAAAAGAAAAGCGATGAGATGAAAAATAAAAAAAATTCTCACATCCGCCAGCTCGAACCTCTCTCTTATTGATGCTTTTGTTGTTTCCTTATTTCTTGTGCTGCCCGCCCTCCCCACCGTGTAGGGCTGCCCTACATGCTGGAGCGTGCTGGCCTTGACGTCCAACAAGGTACTGTCAAACCTACTTTCCACGCTCCCTTTTGTGGCTTGAACATTTTCTTCTGCCGAAGGATTCACCTTGCATGAACGCTCCGTTTCCTTATCTTATCTTCATCTTCGTTCTTTCCACGTAGCACAGCATTTTTCTAGTTTTTTCTTTTTTTTTTTATCGATACTACTACGTTTTTGAAACAAGAGAAAAATTACAATAATGCAAAACTTTCACGCAACAATGGGAACAAGTCGATTTTGACACAGTCTTTCTTTGATTGCTTTTCTCCACGCGCGAAAGAGACGATCCATGTATTTCTTTGAACTATTTTTGCAAATTTTAATAGAGGTTTTTATGTGTGCGTGTGTGTGTGTGAAAGTAGAAATTAATATCGTATTAACACATCCAATAATCAATACTTATAAAAAGAAAGCAGAGAAAAGTTCAAAAGAGAACATAAAAATATTTGGATTGTCTCCTTCTAATCGTGTAAACTTTTTATTTTCTTGCAAAAGCATGCGTTTATAAATATTTTCGCAGTTTTTACAAAGCGTCATCATGATTTTATAATACACACCTTATTTCCAGTTAATGCAAAGTACACGTTTTATGTGTTTTTTTTTCACAAATTTTGATTTCATATTATTTTAAATTGCAGAAATCCTCGTTAAAAAATAATTTGAAAAACCCGAGAAAAATACAAAATATAAAAATAACATGTACTTATTTTTACGTTGTGCATTTTATTTTTCGACACAAAATATGTGTGCAATAATATTTGGTTATAATATTTTTTTATAAAAAGAATTGAAAAAAAAAAATATATTAATTAGTTTAATTTATTTGGCGAATTTACGAGCGAGATTTTTTTTGTGAGTTTTTTGTACGATTGACGCACATTATGTTTGCTTGTTTGTTGTGAACTTTTACTGTTCAAATTCCTTTCTGCGTAAAAACAAAATGATCGCAATATAAATTATGTGTTAACAAGAAAAGAGTAGCTCTTCTCGCGACTCGAGAGAGCAGCATATAAGATCAATGAAATTTGTGTTGCATCCGGTTTCAGAAATTCAGCGAAATAGGGAATTCTACAAGAATGCAGACGTCAGACCTCCGTTCACGTATGCATCCTTAATTCGGCAGGTGAGTGGCTAATGCAATTATCGAAGAATCGTTCGGATATTGCATTTTCTCGTGTTATATATATATATATATATATATGTATATATATGTAACACACTGTGATTTATATCATTCCTTTCTAACAACACACACACCGATTGTTCGAATGCACCGCAACATTATTTTAGTAACGTTCTGAATACATTAAAAAAAAAAAATTAATTTCCAGTTTAATGCAATAAATTACAACGTTGTTTAATATTACATTAAATATTATTCGTGTTCTGTTAAATATTATAGTTTACTTATGGCTTATTTGTGTGATGAAGATTATTATATTTTTGTAATTAATTAAACACGGCCAAATGTATTTTATTGATTATCATTATATCAATTTATCGCAATCAATTTTATTGAAGAATTATATATATACATGTATAGATATATATATATGTATATATTATTCTGGAATCGTTTCAAACTATATTACGTACTATCGCATTTTATTAAAAAAAAAAAAAAAAACAATTATGCAAAAGAAACCATACACATACGTTTTGTGTGCGCGCACATTAAGGAATCCCAAACCGTGTGATTCCGCACTTCAATGACGTGAGTGTGAAATTTCGCTTATAAGGGCAGAACAAAGTGCTATAAATTCTGATGTTGCTCTTTTCATAGTCCATCATCGAATCTCCCGAGAAGCAGCTGACGCTCAATGAAATTTACAACTGGTTCCAAAACACATTCTGCTACTTCCGGCGCAACGCAGCAACGTGGAAGGTATATCTTATAATTTCAGTAGTATATAACGATTCTCTTTACAGCAAAACGATTAAAAAACAAAACAAAAAAAAAAAAAAAAAAAAAAAAAAAAAAAAAAAAAAAAAAAAAAAAAAAAAAAAAAGAAAATTACAACAAGTGATATTTTTTAATTCGGCAATTGAGACATTCAAAATTATATACCGTTTGACGCGATTTTTGTTTGAGAGCTTCGCGCGTTTGAGTTTGCAGTTTTATTTGATCAAGAAAATAGTTTTGACATAATTTTTCTACCTTTATTTTTTGCAAGAAACTGAAGACATGTTTTACACGCAAGCATTTTGCGGCGCGAGATTTGCAACAAAAATGCAAGTAACTCTTCTTTAACAATCGAACAAACTTGACACGACTTGTGCAACGGGAAAAAGTAAGAAGGATAAGATGAAACTTGCATTTACGAGCGGATTAAGCTGAATGCGCTTCTAACTAGAAAAAAAAAAAAAAAAACCTATGACAGAGTCTCGGATATAATTGTATGTATTGATTTCAATTATAGCAGAGGCTAAATGGCGTACCGAGCAAAACAGCTGATAATGAATAGTTGTGTTGCTTTCTCGATTAGGAGGGGGGAGGGAGAACTAATAACATGTGGAATTATGACACATTACGAGTCATTTATGAGCCATCTGTCATTTATATTTGTCCCCCGTATTTGCTCGTTCACGGATCACACGCGTGTTGTCGCGACCCACGCGAATCGGGAGTGAAAATCAATTTGAATAATCTAAACTGAACAAAAGTACAAAGTGTGTTGCTTTATCCCGTATGAGATTTCGCGTTTAAAATGGCGGAAATACGTGTGTGTTTGCGGAGGTGTCTCTATGTGTGATCATCGCTGTTCGATCTTTACGCGGAACGATACTTCATCGTATTTCGAACAATCGAACGCGAACGCGTCATCATTTGCTCAGTCCGAACGAAGAGAGTCAACAAGAGAAAAATCGCCGACCGAAGCGCGTCGTGTCGCGGTTTCTCGGCAAAAAAAAAAAAAACCAAAATTATCATATTCCACATCACTCGTTGGGCATCCGTAAACAACGTGACGACGAATATAACGTGCTGATGGTTCATGATCGATTTGTAAGCCGACGTGACAAATCCGCTTGTTGGCAAGAGTGTTTGCGCGCGCGTGCGTTTTTTTGCGAGTGTATGCGAGTGTGCGTGGAAGTAATTGACGTTTGCCATGACGCTTCGCCTCGCATGGTTATGTGTACATGAAAATATAAGAACGCAAACAGGTTTGCCCGAAGGTGGGGAAGAGCGAGCAGAGCAGCAAGAAGGGATCCAAGCAGAGAAAACCGAGCGGGATTGGCGAACGAGAGACGGCGAGACCACATCGGCCGCATCGAATGCGGTTCCCCTGTCGAATTTTATTCGGCCCTGCGGCATGAATATAATTGTTGTCGTTGCCCCTAGATTTTTTTTTAGATGACTAGCTGTGCATTAACGATAAAAAGGAATGCCACCATAAACCGTGTCTCTCTTTTCGATTAATCATTTTGGTTCGTTATGTCTTCTTGCGACCTTCGATGTCGCGATCTCATTTGCCGGTTTCCTTCTGTGCTAACAGCGATCATCGTCATCATCATCGTTCATCGTCATCATCATCGTCGTCATCACTACCGTCGATCGTCATCGTCATTTATGAAAATCGCGTTACCGTTATCATTGATCATCCTCTCGGTTGGTTAGACTTTCTCCGTATTTATTTATTATGTATTTTATGTCACACGCGCGATGAACATGCGGATTTTTCTTTGTCGGCTGCCACCTGAAAACGTTCGCTCGTCGTTTCTTTCGCAAATAATGAGATTCGAGAATTGCATTTACATACTGATAGGATAAATGCACGTAGTGATTTCAGCGCTGCTTACTTATCGTTTTCATTTTGATTTTGTATGTGGTTTTTTTTATGTTTATTTGCTTAGCGCTTCTCGAAAACCACGTTACCACGAGGATAAACAACAGCTTTTCCCAAGAATATTATCGCGAATGTTTGTCAAGCTGCATAAATATATTATTTTGGGGATGTGCAGTATTAGACTGTCCTGAAGAAAAAAGTACAGCAGCAGTTTTGAGTTTGCGATGCAAAATTTTGAGTTTAAGGTGGCAGCTTTGCTTACACATTCTTCAAGGGCGCCGAGCAGCCATTGCATCCATCTTTGAGAAATGTTTAGAATATTGAATTAAATGTTGCTTTGCAGATATAAAAATAACGTAAATAAACAAAACTTTCTTAAGATTGAAAACTTATTTGAGTCGCGTTATACACATATAGTGCCAGTTAATATTTAAATTATTTCTCTTAATTCATACACACAATGTGTGTCGTTTCACACGTAAATGCACAATAAAAATTAGTTTTTAAAATTTATATTTGTAAAATATACATTTATTTATCTATTTGTTTGCTTAGAGACATATATTTTAAACGTGCGTCTTCTCGAACATTTTCAAAGATGGCTGACATGAGCTCTGAAGAGCAGTGTTGAACAGGTCATCCTAAACTTAATCTGGGTCAAGACCATTACCTACACAAAGACTTCAATCGGAGCTTAAAACGAGGCGATACACGATCTAGGTTATAGATCGAGGCCATAATCGTAAGATTGGAAACTGTTCTTTTGTACAAATCTGAAATGAGACTCATGACGCAAACGTGCAAAATATTTAGAAAGAATCACGTAACTTCACGTAGAGCGTATTACTTTTTTTTACATTTTTTAATAATAACGTATAAAAGTTATTAATGTTGACATGTATTTTTGCTATATTTTTACAACATCTTGAACAAATCAGTTTTATCGGAGCGATATCAAAAATGCTTTAGAATTATTGACTATTGACGAACACATTGTTTCGGATTATATCTTCTCAGTGTCACAAAAATTTATGTGTCATACAAAATATTTCGTGCTCGAACACTCAAGTGGATCGTTTGCAACGCTGCTCGTTGGCACCTTGACAGATCGTCATGCGACACACGCACAATACATCGCACATCTCACTTTAGCGACTCGCGTCTCGGTCATTTCACGATCATCATCCATCCCTGCCTCATCAGCGTGACTGGTCATCATCACCCGATGTCGAGGACTCTCCATTCGCCTGCGTAACACAGAGCCCAACACACACACATCACACACATGCACCACACACACACACGAATACATACACACGCGCCATGACCGACCGTGATCCTTTTTTCCCCCCCGCCGACTACCGGGGCCGTGATTGAGTTGGCTTCGTTCGTTTTTTGCGTTGCTTATTTAGTCTGTGTATTATTTTGTATAGAACGCAGTGCGACACAACCTGTCTCTCCACAAATGTTTCATGCGAGTCGAAAACGTGAAAGGGGCCGTATGGACGGTGGACGAAGTGGAGTTTTACAAGAGACGCCCGCAGCGCGCTTGCAGCACGACCGGGTACGTTGCCCCTCCCCAAGCCCCATCGATTTCAGAAAAAAAAATAACTACAACCGCGCTTTTTACTCTCTTTATATTCTCTTCTCCTCTCTCTTTTTCTCTATCTGTCTCTCTCTCACTCTCTGTCACACCATATATTTCTTACCAACCCCCGGAAAAACCTAACGGAAACCGAAACACCCCCTTCCCCGCACTTTCTTTTCCTTCCGATATATCGGGAAACAGTTTTTCTCCGGATCACCGACTTCCCTAAAATTTCACTCCCGTTTTTTCCCCCCTCACAATTCCCCTTTATATATATATATATATATATCTATATATATATTTCACTCTTTGTCTTTTTACATATTTATATATATATATATATATACTCACTTATATTCGCTTCTACTATTATTGTCATATTCATATAATCGCTGATTACCTTTCCCTCAAACCCTTTATACTGCCAATTTTCTCTCTACAGTTTTTATATCATATTTATATGACTTTTTACAACTTTTTACATTTTTATATATATATCTCGATCTTTATATATATATACACATATATTTATATATATCTTAAGAATATTTTTAACATTCTTATATACATAGCTCTTTTTATATATATATATATTTCGTGTATTTTTAATATATATTATCTGTTTTATACATATATTATATATATATATTTCTATGCGACCTGAAAGGCGGGACGCACGTATATCTCTAAGTGCGTTTGTGGCCTTCGTATGTATGTATACGCACATACACGCACGCTCACCTGTGCATTTTCTCTCTTTCTTGTTACTCTACTTTAATTATACAATACGTTTATATAATCGCCTTTTTCACGATGTGTTTCTATACGTCGTGTTCCCTGTTTGACATCTCTTTCTTTTTCATAGTATATATAATACTTGTATACCTTGTTTGTTACTTGATACGTGCGCATTCATACGTATAGATCTGTGTGTGTGTGTGTATGTATAAACCTTTTTTTACATACACCTCAAAACGCCATAACAGTCTTTTTACTGTACGTCGCTTGTGTCATCTGTCTGTTTGCTGCTAATATTATTACGCGGTTTCTCGAGAAATGCATCCGGTGAGTGAAAAACATTTACTTATTATTCAAGAAAGAAAAATCGAATTTTCGAGAGTTTGAGTATTTTATCGTATTTTTAAAGCAGCCGAAGCAATGTAACATCGCACGTTACACGCGTTTTAAATAAAGTTTTTTAATTACAATTTCATGTCGATCAATGCTCGAGAAACCAGCGATCACATTTGTGTTTGAACCCGCGTGTGTGTGTGTGTGAACATCTTACTTGCCCGTCGTCGTGTGATGGTGTAGTCGGCCGTCTGATGGGTGCGTGGATGTGCGTGAGAGAGAGAGTGCGTCATCATCGATGATAGAGCCGCAACAGATGAACGAAAACGAAAAAAAAAAAAAAATAAACAAAAAAAAAGGAGATATAGAAAGAGAGTTTGGTGCTCAAAGTCTCAGAGATGGGAATCTGTAGTACGTCGTGTGTGCTTTTCATAACGAGCATGTGAGCTTTGCAGCGACTAACCCGATCGAGAACGGCGGGGGCCAATGTATCTTGGCCCGAGTCTAGTCTCGAAAAACCCGGATGCTCGGAAGCGGGGATTGCCCGGAAACAGAGTGAGAACCGCAGTGTTGCACTTTGTCAGGTAGTGAGAGGAAGCCGCCTTTATATATTACTACATTTATTATACTACTACGTGTCTGTTTTTTTTTTCTTTAATTTGTCCATCCCTTCTTTTTGCGAATCTGTGCTGCTGTTTGTTCTCTCTGAAAGTCTACATTTTCGTGATCGCGCGTCGGGGGTAGGAAGGATTACTCGTGACAATCCCCCGGCCGCGCGCGATAGAGAGCGATGGAGCCGTCGGCGAGAAAAGAGAAACGCGCCAGCATATTAATTGTCTTGGGTGGCGCGTCTTCTGATGGTCCTGAGAAAAACGCGCGATGGCAAGCGAGTTGTATAGGAAAAACAAAAACAAAACCAAAAAAAAAAACGGCGAGGCAAAATCTAGAGAAAGAACGAAAGAAAAAGCAAAAGTTGCGCAAAAATCGACTCTGCAAAAACAAAAAAAAAAAAAACAAAAAAAATCAAACAAACAAAAACCAGAAATCTTGTCTTTTTTACTCTCTTTTTCTCTATTTCTTGGTGGTCTTGTCTGTGTATACAGAACGCGATCCGCACCAATCTATCATTGCACAAGTGTTTTGTGCGCTATGAGGACGACTTCGGGTCATTCTGGATGGTGGACGACGCCGAGTTCGTAAAGCGGCGGCATCTGTCCCGCGGCCGCCCCAGGAAATATGACCCAACCCCATCACCCACTCCACCCCACCTCTCCGCACAGTAAGCACTACCACTTTTTAGAATTCTGCTGGCTGGCTGGCGCGACGTTCTGACCTTACCGCGGTACTTTTTTTACGGAAAAACACGACGACCGAGACGGTTCTCGCTTGGTCGTTGTCTACAAATTGAACCACTAAATGGGCTTTCCAACCTGCTGCCTTCGGAAAATCTTTGCGCGCAACTTGCTCTCTAATACCTGTGCGGTTGTAGCTGTTACTACGAGATCGTTGTGTCCGGCAAAATGACATTTCTCGGGAAAGTTTTCGTACGTGAAAACTTATTAAACGACGCATCTGTGTTTTATTATCGTTGCATTGATTCGATCGCGGATTTTGATTCTTCGCGAAAGAAGATAAAGAAGAGTTTTTTTTTTAGAATTACACGCGTTGATTAATATGCGCAAAACTACATGAAATTCTCGAATTACGAAAGAACGTTCAACCACGTTTTAATTTTATTTAATCTTCTTTCAGCCGATAAAAGAGAATTATCCTTTAACTGTTAATCTTACACTTTGTGTAAATTATAACTATTTCTTTTTAAGGAAACGCGCACGATCTCTTTAAATACATCACGATGCTAACAGCTGCAAGTACAGATTGTATGATGACCGAATGAACATTTTCTCTCATCTGTAAATCGGTTACGCAAATAGCTACTACATAAAAACTTGTCAATGAAAAAATTCTATATTTGCGACAAAATTTCTTTCGCTCTCTTAAAGTTCATTACTTGCACAATTAAAAGAAAAAAAAAACGCGTTACACCAAGGCAGCAGGAAGTAGTACTATATGCAATTTATCCAATCCCTTCGGAAATAATCTCCGCATCATGCCTGCCTCGAGTGCCTTTAAAAATTCCGAAAACCTGAACAGTAGTACTTTCACTCAACTGCTATCTTCTTCGTTTATTTTTGTCAGAGGTGTGCGATATCAAGATTTGGGATGTAATTTATTTTCTCATATTGTTTTTCTACGAGATGATAATTTTTTTTTTAACGGATATATTTGTACAGAGGAGTCTGAAACTTTTTGACACGGTTGACAAGAAAAAAATGGCTTATCTCGTGCAATCTTTTAACGAGAAGCGGAGTAACATGCAGCGAGCGACATGTGGCGCGGCTTCTCGCTATCAGCTGATATTGATTTATTGATTGTCTGAAAATCTCACGGTTTTATACACGCCTACAAAGGATCGTCGCTTCCCACGCGCCCATTGTGGCTTATAATTAATTAATTAATCACTATTGCGAATTTTTTGCAAAATTGTATTCAATTGACTTTTCTGTTCAGATCAAGTTAAAAAACTTTTATTTTAGACAGAAAGTTCCAGACGTCCTGTAAACAGGCTACACTGTTATATTGAACATAAATGTAAAATTTTGATAAAAAATAATTAAAAGAGAAAAGAGATATTTTCAAACACAAGATTCTGAAGAAACTTTGTTTTCGAATACAATGTATATTCTATATGACACACTTGCACATATAAGTAACTACCTATGAATTTTTAATAGCCTAAAGAATTCTTAATTAGAAAAAAAAAAATCTAATAATTAATTACGTTTCACAAGTGTTATTTGTATCATGTAAAACATGAAATTCTCGCACACTCTTGCAAATGTATAACGTTCAAGATAGAGTTCTTAGGACATTCCCTATAATATACGTGTTGAAGCCCGAGGCTCTTGGCACTCCGTGATAGCTTGTATCCTGCACAAATCCCGCAACAACCCAACAACGGGACAATTGGTCGGAGTTGTGGGATCCCCGATCTGTGTTTAGCGCGGTTGCTCGCATGTGAACCCCCCCACCGTATATTCTCAATAACTGTCAATCCCTCCCGAGTAAAAAAAAAAAAAAAAACTTCCCGAACATGTTTTCCCGCCAACTTTGGAAACACTGCTTATAAACGTACGTGCGCTTACTGTAATGCCTTCACGATGTCTCTCGTGTGAAAGTGCGTGTGTTTGTGCGGGCAAGCGTTTCTCTTGTGTTCGAGTTTTGTGCTTTTTTTTTTCTTTATTTCGTGTTTAATTTTTGTTTTCTCACAATTGCGAAAAAATTGCGTTTCTTTCGAGCGTAGACTCAGCTGTGACCTTCAATAGACGTTTGCGTATCTTTACGTTCTCCTTGTTCGTTTTCATTTTCCCTCTAGAGTGAGTTTATTAGTTGTACTCTAGCATTTTGGCGAAACTTCTGTTTCCTTAGTTCTTACTGCGATGCGATTTGTTTTGCAAAATCTCTATTACTGTTCTCAACTGTCACCGTACTTTAAAGTTACGTGGAATTCGGGAGAAGATGCTGTCTTCTGTAGAAACTTCTACATTTGAGATAAGATAAGAAAGATGTGTGAAATTTAGAATTTAGAATTATACAAGTTTTGGCACGCAAATGTAAGCGTTTTCTCGGAATATTTCTCTCGATAGTAGTCTGTCTGTTGTTTAAACCGAGCGCAATATTGTTGATAACGTGTATCGTCAACACACGTTATCACGTTGTTTTGTTGGTGTGACGACAATGATATACGAATAGTTCTCAACTTGTCTCTCGCTCTGATAATGTTTTTTTTTTTTTACGCCAGTTTAAACCAGATCGTAAAAGTTCTTTTACCTATTGACCGACAGGCAATTGCGATTGAAGTCAGAAATTAAAACTTTTTTAATTTTCTCAATGAAATTTTAAGTATTTTTTAAGATTGACGTTTTGTACAAATTGCACAGTTGAGAATTGTAAAATGGATTTCGGTTTCGCATTAAAAGTCTCGTGCTTTCGCAGTGAGCGAATGAGATTCTCGGATTGAGTGATCACGTGTGTATGTCAGAGCTACTCGCGCATGTGTAAAAAAATTGTGTAAACTGTGTCTCAACTGTGATCTTGGGGGTGGAATTCTTCGATCGCCGTCGTTCTGATCACTCGTCTAGTGTCATCAGGTACAACAAGGACTCTCAGTAATCTAATCTCAGTAATATTTAATCTATAAGTCTTTTTTGAGATTTTTACTATTTAACATTTTTAAAATTTTATATATACTCAATCTCTCTATCTTTTATATATACTCAATCTCTCTTTCTCTCTCTTTAACTTCTTCTTCTTCTTCTCTCTCTCTCTCTCTCTATCTCTCTATCTCTTTCACTATCTACTTTCCTTCTTTCTATCTCTCTTTCTTCTCACTATCTTTTCTCTATCTTTCTCTTTATATACGCGCGCTCCTTGTTGCTTAATAAACGGTCTCAGGAAATCTTTTTTTCTCATCTTTTTCTTTGCATGCTCTTTTACATCTCTTGCAACAAGATCTTCGACGATGTGTCAAAAAAAAAAAAATATATATATATATACTGAGTGCAATGAACAGAACGGTAACTAGTCGCAAGAGATGTGTGATACAAAAAGTCTCTTTGTAAATCATGGGACATTTGTCGGTTGTAACACGCAACCGAATCAAGGTAATATTTGTCGCATATGACACCCAAGGTAACGCAAAAAGAAAGGGTAAGCTCAGGTAACCTTGTGGCCGTTTATAAGCACATTTGTTTCGAAACAAATACAGTTTCTTCTTAATTAAAAAAAAATAGAAAAATTACATTGTACATACGAATGCTAAGATTTTATTTGCAAAGAGTTTCGAGACAGGAGCGCCTTTTTTTAACTACTTTTTCTCTTTGTAATTTTTATCTTAATCTCACTCACACAAAACCACCGGTGTGGAAGGAGCAGGACTGGTAAACAATTTTCGAGGCGCGCTGTAAGTAGGTAAAAAAGGTTTTCAGACTCTTTTTCGCTATTTTTTAATCTCTTTTTGATATATATTTATATGTATACATTTTTCTCATATTTATACTTCTCTTTCTCTCTTTGTCTCTTTCTCTCTCTCTCTTCTCTCTTTCACCTCTTTCTCTGTCTTTCTCTCGCTCTATCTCTTTCTCCTTTTTGTCTTTTATATACGTCTACATATCTACAACTCCAGTACACGCACTGACACACATGGTCACCATGTATATATCCCTCATTTCTGCTCCCCCTTCTTTCTCAAGATCCTACACTGACACGATTAAAAAAAAAAAAAGAAAAAATTCATACACGCATTTTGTTTCAGGAAATATACATAACTTTGCAGACGAATTTCCTGATTACTAACGTAGTTTTCTCTGTCACTATCTAGGGGTGTCCCATCAAAGAGCCCGACGCTGACGCACAGTCCCACCATGTACGGTGACGCGTTGAATGCCAATCTGCAGGTAACTGTCACTAATTAAATTCTAGAATTTTGAAGAAGAGAGTGGGATTTTTCAGAGTATCTCTGACAGCAAAATGTGTTTTTTGTATTGTATTATTTTTTAAACAAATTAATGTTATTTGTGAACAAATTAATGTTATCTCACACGTAAACTCAATCGCACTTTCTTGATAAACAGTTGTATAAAAAAAAAAAGAAAAAGTTTTGTACTTCACAATAGTTTTCTTTTCGAGACAAAATAATAGATTGTATAGTTTGGTATAAACCAGTAATAACTAACCGTCTAATGCAATTTGAGTATTTTCAGGCACTCGGGGAGTCTAACATAGGATTTTTAAACAATCCAATGTGCACATCGACGGCGACGAGTCCTGACAAGGAACACGTATTACCTCACAATGACTTAATGTAAGTGACACTCGCACGCAAACGCATTATTATTTAAATAATATTTAAAGGCTTGTTTCTCCTCAAATATGTTCACAGTTACGTTCTTCAAACATGTCAAACTATTCTTTAAGTGTTCTTAAGTTTCTCACCGTATTATTTTTAATTTTCTTGTTGCAATTTAAATCGATAATTCATTATTCTAGCTTAGAACAATATTGTACGTCGCGCGACGTTGCGATTTTACTCGATAGCATATATTCGTCAACTTTTATTTCCGAAACGTGTTTACGAAACGTTTTGTTGGATCCATTTTTTGGATCTCTCCATCGCGCGCGATGCAAAAACAACAAAATAACAAAAAAGCCCCGCCCGCATTTCCCCGCTCTCGTGACTTTTCCGAAACACAAACTATCCCGTTGCAGCTTGACGCGCGACCGCAGCTTGAAACCGCCCGGTGATGAAACAATCCCCGGAAAAGCGGCGGGATCCGTTTATTCCCCCGACGGCGGCGCGGGCCGCCCGTGTGTCGCTAAAAAAAAAAAATATACATATATATATGTATATATCCGCGCGCGTCGCGCTCTATGAAACATATATCCCAACACCGGCACGCGCGCAAGAGTTTTCCACTCATAAGCACGTACACAACACGTTCGCGCGTGTCGTCCATTCAACAGGTCGCCGCTGGATGAACCGGCCGTGCACATAAAGCAGGAGAGCCAGAGTCCGGAAGGAGGGAAGCACACGAGATTAATAAAGCGCGAGCTGCCGGACGGTCCCATGGAGCAGGAGACGGAGGAGGATCAGGCGGACGACAGGGAATACTCGGAGAGCCACGGCCACGACTCCGGCCAGGACGAGGACATAGCGGAGGATCTGTCGATGGCGCCCGACATAATGATCCCGGAGGATCAGGTTGAGGCGTAGTACCGTTCCGTCGCGAGTCAGTAGAAAGACGGAGGTGTGTATTTTACAAAAAAAAAAAAAAAGAACGATGTACCGTGTTAGGTACGCGAAGAGAGGAGTTCTCCGCGCTGGCCAGGATAATAATTAAGACAGGCGTAGAAGAGAAGGGAGGACGAAGAGACTCACGACGAAGAGGACGATAAAGACACCCCCAGGACCACCCACCCCCTCCACTCCTCCTTCGTACGGATTTTTCCCCCCTCAACGTATCATATCTGTGCCGCGACGCCCAAATGGCTTTAAAGGTAAAAAATAAAATAAAAAAAAAAAACGAAAAAAAAAAAACGAAAAAGGAAGGCGAGCGAATTGCGCGGAACAAAGACACTATCGGTGAGCGATCACGAGTAAAACCCCCCACTGAGAGCGGACGATCATTGAGCCGAGGTCTCTATCGTCGCGCCGGTAGCGTCCAAGTCTCGGCCGACATTCGGGAGCGATCCTTCGATCCATATCCTTACTCAAGCAATTGCGAACAACGATGTATTTTTATTTTCCTCTCGACTTTTTCCGTTTCGGAAGCCGCGGTTAATATATCTAATAGACGTATACATAAAATATATATACATATACATATATCTCTCTCTCGTGTACATTGCATTAGAAATTAATGTGACGACGATGGGACACCTCGCACGGCGCGCCTAGCGGTCGGCGCATCTTTTTACCGGGCGTCCCCGAAAAAAAAAAAAAAAAAACTCAACGGGAAGTATCCTTCGCCGGATGAACCGACGTGATTTGTACACTTCTAATGGCGACAGACGCCATTTGCTTAGCAAGTCTTGAAAATTTGTTTCTTCCTTTATTTCACACTCAAGTCGAAAAAACTTGTTGAAAAAAAAAAAAATGTACACACATACGCACGCGTTACGTACATGTAAAACAAAATCGGTATATTTTTAAAATATGCAATTGATTTTGCGACTGTGTGATTACAACGAGTCTTTTTTGCGATTTAAAAAAAAAGAAATTCTTTTTGTTTATTTTACAAAAAAACCATTGCACGAACGTTTTATGCGTAACAATGCGTTTGTCTGTACAAATCAAATCTCGGACACGGAATTCACATTGTAGCAAAAAAAAAAAAAGAAAGATACGTCGAGACTTGCCAGGAAGCATCGCGCGGTTCCACCGGAGAAGTGAAGTCGGTCAGACAGTCCCCGGCAGGATCGAATTTAAAAAAAAATAAAATCGACGAAGAGAGCCGTGGTGGTGGTGGTGGTGGGTACGTACGGGAGCGACTGAGTTTAGTCTTTAAGGCGTTCGCCCAAGGCGAATCAATGTGTTATCCTCGCGATTAAGCGGGTCCTACCCTCCCGCCCCCTGCCCAGAAGAGGCCCAGTATCAGACAAGTTAAAAATAAGACAATTTGCATCCGCGAAAGAGACATCCGGATGCGACATCCCGGCGTACCCGTCCGCTACTTGGTAGCACTCTGTATAGTCTATAGCGAAGTTGGTCGTAAGTAGTTTCGTATTCATTTTAAAAAGAAACAAAAAATACGGTCATTCAAATACGGTCGAAACGAGGCGGTCGATTATTTAAGTAAGCGAGCGTCAACGACACGACACGCGTGCGTGTGTGCGCGCGCGCGCTCGAGACGATCTTTCGAATTTACTTTCCGATCGAGCCGGTCAGGAATCCGCGATGCAGAACGAATATAAATGATAGATGAACGTAGCTCTGCGAGACGATCGAATACACACACACACACACACACATATGTACACACACACTCGAGCGAACGTCACGACGGGGATAAGTGGGAAGATCGCTAACGCGACGTTTTATATTCACGTGTGCGTTACGTACGTTGCATCACGTGTGCGAGTTAAAATAAAATTTCAGATTCGATGTCTGCGCTAAAAAAAAAAAAAAAAAAAACACGTAAAAAGAAAAGAAAAACCCCAGGTTTTGTACGATACATAATATATATATATATATACATGTATGTATATTTAACTCGATCGTTTTTTTAAGGTATAGGATAGACTCAGCACCGTGGGGCGAGAAATGTGGTGCTTTTCGAGTTCCAACGCATTGAAAGCTAGCATTTCAACGTTTTGGATGAATTAATATAATAAAATTTCGAGTTGTTAGGGGGTAATATATATTACGCGTTCAAGAAGATTATATTATAGTTATTAGCACTTCCTTCTGTGATACGTGACGAATATAGTAAGACCACTGTATTTAATTAAATATAAATATATATATGTGTACATCTCTATATAATTGTAAGGAACTTATATATATATACATATATGTACGTTATAAGTCGTTTTTTGGTTGCTAAGTCTATTGTATATCAACGTTTTTTTTCTTTTGTTTCTATTATTTGTCCCGACAACAAAAAATTTTGTCGCAACGGGCGATATATCGATCTGTGCCGCGCCGAAAGCGAATCGCATGTATCGAAATGTTTGACGAGGTAATCACGTTAATGATCTCCCTGCTCCTCTCTTTCTCACGAAAAAAAAGAAAACACGAAGGTCTATAAATAAAATTTAAAAGTACTATGTATGCATATTATATATACATATATTAATACGTATACGTATTATCGCGAAGTGATTAAGGAAAATTAGATGTCGATAAAAAAAAAAAATCACCCTATCCACATCGAACTCTTTTTCCCCATCTTCCTCCCCCCCCGTCCAGTCCTAGTCCTTACTCGTATGCACATCAATCGCGGGCGCGAGGCCAGTAGATTTCTTCGCAAAGCGCGCGCAAAGTCTCGGATTCCAAACATAGAAAGCGCGTTCATATCGGTACGAGGCTACTTCGCATCGTTCGGATTCTACCGATAACACAAAGGAATCTTCAAAATTCGATTCTATGGATTCTTTGTTTTTTTTTTGTTTCTCAACGGTAATCCGTTTTATATCAAGCTTCGGTTGTTGTCACAAAGACGTCGTCTACGTTATTTCTTTTCGGTGACTGTGTCGCGAAGACGAAAAGAACAATTGAATATTTTATTCCACACGCGGGGAATTACGTGCAATTTTTGACATTACGTAAAAATTATATTATTCGAAAGTGAATTTGAGAGCTGTTGTTTTGTTTTTTTTTTTTTTTATAACGCAAGGTTCGCGCGCGCAAAAGATCTTGAATTTAAGTTAAATAAATAGCGTAACTTTTTGTATGGCGTCACTTGAGAGAGTATTGTGAAAATTTGTTTGAAACACACATTTCATTTGCAAAGAACTCTTGTAACTTTATTTTTAATTTGATCGATGTATATTTGTCACATCGCAACACGAGTGTTCGACATTTTGATTTTCCATTTATGATTAATGAGCATATTTTTCTGTTAATGAAATCACACGCAAATCGATGATACTGATATATATCAGCGAAGTTATGCTAAAAGTTGAATTGTAAAAAAAAATCTTGTGAGATTTCGCGACGAGAGATAATCTCTCCAGGCGGGGAAAAAAACCACGTGTTGTTGACGTCTGCATTTATTTGTTTTCGCGTATGTCTCGAAATCTCTCCGCACAAAATCATGTTCTTGTTCCGTAATTGTCAACGACGTGTCTGACGCGTCGCTGAATTGCTCCGCCTGCGTTTCGCTCGTCGCAAAATCTTGCGGAATTTTTTCCGCGTTCCGCAATTACTGATATTTGCAAATGTTAAATTTTATTGGATGGATGAAAATCTCTGTTTTGTCGATATATATATATATATATATAAGTCGTTTCGGTTGAACTACATAACACACACACACAGTGCGAATGTACGGATTAGTGTTTCTGTAACAATCAAATAAAGACAAGGAAATGCAATATTATTGATATGATACAAATATATATATTGACTTTTTGTATTTTTTAAAATTGATTAAGTAAAATTACACAGAGAGAAGCGAAATCGATCCTTTCTCATCGCGTATGAATTTCTTCTAAATTGATCATCCCCTCCCCGCCCCCCAGTTTCGATTGCCAAAACACGTGTATATATTTCCACGTTCCAAATTGCGACAGCGATTTTAAACGAATAGCGAGTCATTTGAGACACTGATGTTTGCACGTATTTGTCAATGAGAGGAGCGCACAAACCTGAAAGATAATTTAATTGCGTTACGGATATAGAAGAAAAACAAGCGAGAAAGTGCGCGACAAGATTACACAAGTGTGTATGTGTATGTGTGTTACACATTTTTGCAAGAAGAATCGAGCAGGCATTGGCCTCGAGATCACACACACACGAAAATAAAAATTTGTACGGTTCAGCGCCGTTTGAGCTCGCTTTCGCGCATGGCACTATACTAATCTAAGTCTATACAAATATATATATATATATATACATATACATATATATTATATATGATTAAGAATTTGACACATACACACGCATACACTACTGTAGAAGACTTCCCTCTGTAAATAATGAAATCTGTCGAGGCATTAGGAGTTCGGCGTCAATCGCGGATGGATGGATTCGAGCCGATATCGCAGCTCGTGCGTGTGTTGCGCGTGGGTGTGATTGTGTGAGTGTACGCGTGCGATTTGTTATCCAATCTGCATTTAATTTCGGATCTCGAAGTTTTTTGGGAAGGACACACATGAGTTTTGCCAGATGAGACATACACACACACACACACACACGTTCGTCACGTCGCGAAAAAGATCGGGAGGCCTGCGCCGACCGCGGATAATTACTTAACGATCGGTTAATTGATCAATCAAGCGCCGTGTCGCGTGACGTTTCGGGGCGGATTCGCGCGTACGTATCTAATTCTGTATCTTTTGTATCGTGAACGGTGTTTTACACACGTGCCGACGGACACTTTGGTGTCGTCAATGTTGTTTTCGTTACGTTAACGACTAATTTTATTTTCTATTTTTTTTTTTCACACACGACGTTTAAACATTGCGGAAATGTTGTTTCTTCAGTTGTAGACCGTCGCGTTAACTTTGCAAAATGCTCGAAAATAATTGCAGATAACATAAACCCGATGATGTATCAAGTTTTTGATGCCGTTCACTTCGGACAATTATTGGCTCGCATTGACGAAAAGCAATGGCGGTTCAGTGCAATCATATCAGTTAGAACGAAGCGTCCAACATGAACTGTGCCAAATCGATACTAACGACGTTTACTTGTTTAATTTTGAAAAAGTTTGGGACGAGATGGATGGAACGCGTCTTGAAAACGATTTTTTGAAAGAAACTTGCTGTAAGATTGTATCTCTTTCACAAGGTGCCGCGATACATAGACACTTAGTATAAACGCGCCGACAAACTACATACAATATTTTGTGAAAATAAATACAGACATCGATTATAGATTCGAATAGCAATTGATTTTAACGTGCTGTGATCGAAATGGACATGTTCATGTATGAACAAAACTCTGTCATGCTCCACTCGATATTCTCGCGTTAACGCCACACACACAATTGCCACGATACATCACAAAAAAAAAGTTCTCGTCAAGTGAGGCACTTCCTCGCAAACAAATCAAACGTGTTGTAAGGATGTAACAAGATAAAATAATGTAATATGCTTACACGGATAATTTGTTCTTCTACATTTTCTAATCTGTATTTTTTTTCTCTCTCTTTTTCCGTCGCGCTTCTACTGACGCGTCAAAAACAAACAAGAAACAAACGTGTTGCGAAGGTTGTTATCGCAAATTCGAGCTCTCGCAAAGAAGCAACAAATTTCCACCAAGGACGACCGTGTAATAATCGATCGCGTAGATGTGAGAGACCGCCCGGTATAAGTTGAAAAAAAAAAAAAATAAATAAATAAAACAATCATTACATTCTTGTAGAAAAAGTTTATTGTCTGAATTAATTTGTTAAGTATTTGTATGATAAGTTGCCTTGTAAAAATGTACCGACTTTAATAAGAAATTAAATGTGTTACTGAAAGAAAATCACAAATCGATTTCTCTTCAGTTTTTTTCTCAACAAACACACAACCTCCGTTTTTTCGTTGCGTTTTCGAAAATGACGGTGCGTAGAGAAGTAGCCGATTAAGCAAACCGATAATTGTAAAAGAACAGAGACAAATTATAAATTTTCACCGTACTTTCTTGTGTAATAAGACTGACTGATCGTTTGTAATGCTCGATATATAATCTCGTTGTGGGACGTGTATCGAGAGATTTATATATATACGTAAATTAATGTATATCTAGGAAAAAAACCACGTAATATATGTGTCTAGAGAAAGATCGCAGGAAAACCACAACCTTATATCATACTGTAAATAAAGAATTTGCGAAGTCGCATTTTTTAGAACGAGATAAGCGTTTTAGCGTTAAAAAATCTTAGCTGGAATAATCTTGAAAGGACTCTACTTAATAAAAAAAAAATCTGCAACATAAACAAGAAAACACGACTCTATATATATATACACATATATAAGCTCTAAGACATAATTCTGTTTTCAAATTCCTTGTTAACGCGCAAATAAAGGGATGCTAAACATTTCTGGCTTTTTGTAATTCATCATTTTTTTAACGTGAATTCAACGGTGAATTTACCGGTGAAGTAAGCTTATCTGCAGCTGATATCGTACTACGTGTTGTTTAGCTATATACATATTATATATATGTATTAAAACTGAAAAATAAATATATAAAACAGAGAAATATGTAAGAGCGAGAGTTTCCGTTGATATGTAGAGGTTCGAATAATATTTGTGCCTTCAGGCGTGTTTACATCTTTCGATTGTTCTTGATCAACTGTACAAGTTGATCGATTAACAATTGAAAATAAATTGAACAGGGTAATAAATTGTACATTTGTTTTATTCTAAGGTAAACAGCTTGTAAATATTTTGTCTCTCTTAAAATATTGTTCAATCAGCTTTTAATTTTTGATCAACAAAAATCAAAAACGTGTAAACGTACTCTCAAAAAGATTGTGCTGGGCATATTGGTAAAATATTCTTCTTTATTTTTATTATTTCCTATTTACATGTAATTACATTTAATCATTGATATAAGATGTATTGATTATATTAAATAATGTATTACGATATTCGATTTGATTCAAAAAAATATTTGATTGTAAAAATCAATGTATGTATATATATAGAAAATTAAACTCGACAACACTAGTGAGAGGGAGGAATGGAAAAACAGCACGTGACTTTACTTTAGTCACGTGTCTTTAAAAACCGGATTGAAATGTCACAGTACTCGCCAACACAGAGAAACGGAGAACAAAGCATGACCGCGTCTCACACATCATATAATACTCATATGAGAGGTGTCAGAAATAACGCACAAAAAATCAAACTCGAAAAATAGAGAGAGGATATAGATTGAATATTAAACACATAAAGTTAATATTCAGAACCATTTAGAGTTTTGACGGAAAGCTTCGTAAGTTTGTTTTGTAATGTTTATATTACATTACAATTCTTAAATTGCAAGCGATCTTGAAATGCGTGTAATCGCAACTATTATTGGAAGTCGATTGATCTATCTAAAAGAATTAAAACTGTGCTTTGTATTACGAATAGCCGCGCGGGGGTGTACACCTAATCAAATTTTCTGCGCAAAGCAACAAAGTAATAAATTTTTATATAATACGCTAGAACGAAAATATTGTTCTCTATTAATAGTTTTATCGTATACACCGTTTTATAAAAAAACGTTTCTTTGTAATTACTTGCAGTCGTAAACAAGTAGTACGCGACTTTTACGAGTATCTCAAGGTATCTGTTAATAACTTGCCAACACATTTGTTACGTAGTTTGGCTTATGTCAGATGAAACAAAATATATACCGTATATATTCGCTATATATATATATATATATATACTAATTGAAAATAAGTCCGTCAGAATACTAAATGTATATCACACTTATTCGTTGTGTTTCTGTCTGTCCATATCCCTCAGATGATTGGACAGCAATTCCCATTTGGACGCCCACGGCGGTTTGTCTACCTCTTGTGTATTGACTTCTTCTATCAAATTCATTAATCGAACGAAGAACTCATTGAGTTTGCCAGCGGTTCCACGTCGCAGTTTCTGAAAATGTTTATCTGAAATATACAAGGTTTTTTTTGTTTTTCACATCGATGTCGGAAACTCGTTACGTGTTGTTATCTCCGTGTTCAGATCGGTTCGATAAGTGGTGTCTATGAGTGTGCTCTTTTACTGTCGTCACAAAGACGCGCTATGATTATTGATGCTGAAATATAAATAGGGCGAAAAAAATGGACGTCCGTACAAATCAATATTTCTGGGTATCGCGATATGACGCAGATAAGGTATAAAGTTGACGGATAGCACGGAACTCCGCAATTATATATCGGGTGTCTTTATATAAACATCTTTATATAAAAATGCTATTTCTTGAAAAGTCATTGTATCGATTGTGCGTATAACTTTCTTCCGCACGATGTAAGAAATAACAAATAATAATTTTTTACTGTGCGTCTATAGTATTTTCAAAATTATAATCTATATATTATGATCACAATGTAAAATAATTATATTATATGTAAATAATTGTGCGGATAATGAAAATATGAACCTATTAAATACATACGTGGAGGATAAAAGGAGTTCTTGATCCAGATTGTTTGCTGCGTCAACGCCGCTATCAGCCGTTTGGTAATTAAACTCTGACTTTCGGCCGTTACGGGTCTTAAGCGGGTGACAAATCGCAGGAAGTATTCTAATAAGTATCTTGTGCAGACAGGTAGTTTCGAGAGGCACCGCTGCGGCTTCGAACTCCAGACAACGATGTAACTGAGACTATCGACGTCAAGAAGCGGATACTTGAGAGTCTCTAGCCACTCGAACAACAATGCGGACAGCACCTCCAAATTGGTTTCTAATTCTAATCGTTGCCACACGGTGCATCGGTGGTTCAAATCGCTCTGAATAAACGGATTTTCAATTTTTATCAATGTTAATATTTAAATCTTGTTACTTATGTCACACAATGCTTAAAGTATTGATGCAACACTTTAAATATACATTAACAACAATCAATAATGACTTGACAAGGAAAAAGTTTTTTATACGTGGACAAGTTCTGTATCTAGTCTATATGATCTTATATACACTTGATTGTATTTAATCGGCAAATTTAGAATTTGCTCATATGTGAAGAACTAATTTTCCGGGTTTATAGTACACAATTATAATAATACGCGGAACAAAATTGTATACCTATTACAATGCTATTTTAAATTGAGTTAGATATTTTACGTGACTTTGCGGACAATGGTCGATTTAATATTTTATGATTCTAGGGGTGTTTATAGACAAGAATGTGGTAGAAGAAACTGAATGAATATTTCTGCACGTGTGAATACACACACACACATATAATCATCTAACGATATTCTTAAAACCGTGCCAAGTACCTGATAATTGTGCAAAAGTTTCTTGGCGGCATCGGGAAGAACAGCGCTGTCCGTTATGAGCGCCTTTATAGCTTCCTCGGCATTTATCGTTTTGTAATCATCGCGGGGAATGTTTCGCAAGCTCATGTGCGACTGAATCTCCTTGTAACAATCGTTGTCAAACAGATCCTGATCGTGAATGCCGTCACCCAGAACGTCGTCGATGCAGTTGTCGTCCAGACCTGTCTCGCGGCGCACAAAATATCGTATTGTTCAGATTTTGCATTATTATTTCATCGAGAGATACCATATCGAAATGTGTGCGAATAAAGACGATCGAACAGTCTAGTTAAATTAATCAGCAAATCGAAAGTAACCTGGAAATGCGGAGTCGCAGGACGGGGTGTCCGGCGACATGCAAAAGACGTCGCTCAATCTTCCTATGTCATCGGGAGTATCTCGGGACGAAACTTGACTGCTACCCGCTTTTGAAGAGGCTACAACACACACGTTAGTAAATAAATATTTCAGCGGCTTTTCTGTTAGAGAAATTAATAATAAATTAAATTGTTGACATATCATTTAAAAAAACGGGATTTTCTTTCTCACACGAGAAAGAACCGAATGTACTTGCAAAACGGCAATGGAGTAAAGATCGTAACTTTTAAAGCAATGTGTAATTATTTGCTCACATAAAAAATACCCAGGGACAAACGAAGGTTAATTAAATGCCGCAAAAATTGCTCTGTTATTACGTTAAAATGTAACATTTCTCACTTGCGTATTCGTACGACGAGTCCGTGAGGGATTCCGCCCACGAGTAGGAGTGTCGCATATTACCGTCACGGAATTTTTCCAGCATGTGACAAATAAAACGTTTTGTGAAGGGCACGTTGGAAACCGCGTACGTGATTTCGGACGGCGAGTTGTCCTCCTGACAGTCGCACAACTGAAGTATCCTCTCGCAAATGATAAAAACGATCTGGGAATAATGCAGACACGGTAATTAATCGGTAAATAAAACATAAGCTTAATATTATAATTACATTAATTTTTAAAAAATGTCAGAGAGAAACTTCATGTCGCGTCTTCACCTTTGGGATGTGCTTGAAAGTACGTTGCTCATATCCGTGTAGAATGTTGTATTGCTTTTTCAGGTACATTTGAAGGCTGCAGGGCTTGCGATCCCCGGTCGTGCTGTACAAGGGAAACACTATCATCTGCGGAAGCACGAAGTGCTCGAATTCTTGAATGCAAAGTATTTGTCCGCGCGTTTGTATCGCGCACGGACGCTTCATGCGAACGAATCTTATTGCATCGTTCGCCTTCACACGAAGACTGTAAATTAGGTAGCACGCGATCAAAACGCCGGTCCTGCCGAGACCTAAAAAAAAAAAATAAATAAAAAAAAAAATTTTGTTCTCCTCAGGTCGCAACGCAACCCGGATCTAATTTATGCGCCTGTCACACACGTCGCTATAGCTAGAAAACAAAATCTGTTAGAAAAACTCCAACGTCTTTAAATAATATTTCAGAGTATACACATTGTCAAAATTATATAATATAAAGTGAGAATTTGCATAATATATATAAAGTGAAAATATTATAAAGTAAAAATTCGCACAATATACAAGTACATTTTATATTGCACAGTTTTGTAAAATTAAGTTTTTATCTGCTGCTTCAACATAACAATGCATAAAAAAATGATTAATACACTTAGAAGCAAGTATATCTCCGGAGACCATCTGACTTTTCTTTATGAGCCACAACACGTATGATTAATTCGCTTGCTTTCGCGCGATCAGATCTCTATATTTTAACGCATTACAACGCAGAAATTTGCCAGACACACGCTTATATAGATCGACCTTCCGCGAACGTGCATACATACGGAAATAAATAGTTCTCTCGAGTGTGTTATTTACATGTAAAAACACAAATATGATGTGCTCACGCGTAATGTATAAAAATATACGCGCGTTGCGTCACGTGCTCGCTTATCGCTCCGCTCGCATTTTGTGTTTTAATGAAAATTGAAATTCTCTCTCGCGACGCGCGGCGACGTCCGTGACGCTAATAACAATTATATCAAATAAAGCGTGGCGCAGATGGGTTTTTATTATCACTGATCACGCTCTTACCTAAATTGCCTGCTTTCCACATCGTACGACAAAGCAAGCGCGTAAGTACTAAAAGTTTTTCTTATCACACACTTGGGCGATTTTCCGCCCGAGTTTTTATCGCACAAATTGTTGTTGAGATAATGTAATACAACCAGTGTTTTTAAATTGCGCGCATCATAAATCCTGATCGTATTCTTAATCGAAATCGTTATGTTCCGCTGGCATTCGATGTTGAGTGATTCGCGTGCAGCGTAAAGATGCATCGAATGCACGGTACACACGCTCATTAGCCGACTTTGTACACACGCAATCATAATATTGTGAGCGACTAAAACGTGCTTCACGTGTTTCTTCTTCTTAGATCAATATACTTAGATTTGCGTATCGTTCATCAAGTTTATACAGAGATAACGTTATTCGCGCGAATTCGCGCGGTGAATGACGCAAATACGTACGTTAAAATGTAATGGAGATGGACATGTAAAAAATTAATTAGTGATCAGAAGTACCGTAACAGCTCAACAATAAAGTAACAAGCGGAAAATAAATCAGAATTTCAAAACGAAAACATATTGTACTCGCGTATTTCTTTATTATAGCAAAAAATGTTCTCGATAAAATACACGTTGAAAAACCATAAAAATTAACACACGCACGCGATACGTTGTAATAAATTCAAAAAAAAGCCATGATCGCGCTGCGGGCGATGGAATTGGGTCAAGCGCAGAGAAAAATCGATTTACCGGCATGACAGTGAATGGCCACTCTTCCCTCTTGCACGGCAAAGGCCACGACCTTGACCATGTCCAGGAGTTTTCCCATGGTGGCGTCGCCATAATCCTTCAGAGCGAAATTGTAATAGTAAACTGCGAACAAGACGACGATCAGGAAAACCTGAGGCCTCGTGGTTTAAAATAGGAGCGGGCCGTAAAAGCGATCGTTATTTCGGGACTTTTCTTTCACGGCGCATAGATATATACTTTTGCTGCATTGCATGTTACATCGCGAGACTCTTCGATCTAGCTGGGTGGTTGTTAGGACTGTGAAGAAGAGACGCTCGCTTCTTCGCGCATTCAACGCGAGGACGCATCCAACTCGCAACTTTTGAACTCTATTATTATTATTATTATTATTGCAATTTTTAATTAATTCAAGAGTTCTTGCCCTCTTATCATGGCACCTCGCCATACAATTTGCATATCAAATGCAATAAGTTGGATTAGCGTCGATCGATTCGCGTGAGCAATTACTTAATGTTGCATCATTAGCGGCGCGTATGACGAAGCAATTTTTGTTGGAATGCTAATATCTCTTAATGACGCGTATATATATAATATATAACGAGAAACGCGCGGTAATCGGTTAAACGTTGCAATATAAGGAACACGGACTTTGCTGAGCGTCTTTTAATACCTACTGCCGTTTTTCATGAAAATGTTGGGATCGTATGTGAAACCGCTCTCTTCGAGTGGGCCACCGCAGCTCGCATGCTCGCCGGGTGTTTGCAAATTTATTATGGTCTTGATGCTCCATCCTTGGAACTGGGCGATTATGTCCTTTTTTATTATTTGCGCGGTGTTGGGTCGTGCCATCGCAAGAACGTCGTCGGTTACCCTAAAATCATTTTCGGTCGGATGAGCCGATTTTAGATATATCGGTTCGCGTTCACATGCAAACACAGGGAGACACGCGTTTTAGTGGATATATATATCTAAATAACGAATTTGTGACTTTACTCGCGTGTCCATTATGTAAACGAGAAGGAGCATGTTAATATATGGCAAGTTACATATTTTATCCCTCCCCCGAGCAAATCTCCTCGTGCAGTTACGAATTGAGCGATGCTTCGACAGAATGTCAATAGCAAGCGTGGCTCGAACGTAACGGAGCGTGTATTAAATCGGCATAAATTATTCGCGATGATATACTGCCGGTTTGTATTTATTATATTTTAATAAAGTGATTTTTAAGACGTTCCCCAAACGCGAGTGCGGAGCTACAGTGTTGTAATTTTTATACACAGAATATGTTTCGCGGTTATACAATAATTATAAACAAAAAATGCACGATCAGCGAATTCTATAAGAGTATTAAAATTAACAAGAAAAAATAGAAAACAATCGTGCTTTTGTTGCTAGCACAGTTTGTTTCGTCAATGACATGTTCTTTTGTTATTGTTGTATCGTAAAAATTTAATCCGCGAGGAAGGAGATCAGATTTGCTTACCAATGCGAAAAGACGTTCTGTATTGCCATGTGAACGGCCGGCCAAGCTTTTGGATTTTCATATTTGCATCTGGACCCGCCGCAAAAAATTGCGCACTGTATAGACTGCGGCGTGAATTTTCGCAAATTCTCCGAAAACTTATTGTATCCCGCTTGAATCTCGCACAGATTTCGTTGCGCGTTTTGAAGTCCCGCCGGAATTAACGAGCTTACATCCATTCTACACGTGCAAATGAAAAACTTGATAGTACATTTTATTTTAAACACACATATTTTAGTTGCAACTTGTTGAATTTGCAATAAAGTTCAACAATTCAACATAATTTTATTACCAAAATTATATAAAATTTCGTGTGCGAATCTAAGAAGAATTTAGTTAATAAATACGTACATTTGCGAAAATGTTCACGTGCTTTTCCATCTCATAGCTATGCGCGAAAATAATGATCGATTTTGTTTGCAATCAAACTCTCGTTGGAAAAATGAGAAAATCGCGCGAGACTTCAACCGCTATATCCGACTCGACACGTCGACGTAGTTAATGGAAAAAAGACACTAACATACTGGGGTAAGCGCATAGCGACTGGCGGTTCCGCTGCTACGACGCTGTTTTATCAGTTGGATGAATCGCGCAAGGGGTTGCGCCTGCGTCGAGTATCGATAATCGTGAAATTTCGTGTACGTGCATATACGTGTACGCGCGTCGGCGTTCTATTAGTTCCAAGTAGTTGTGCGAAGGCTTGGGGTAAATAATACAAAGTAAAGCGCACGCCGCGCGTGAGGTGCATGACCTTTCGATTGTAGAAGCGAATTTGCGTGTTTAACACAGCCACTGTGCTAGTTTTTTTTTTTTTTTTTTTTCCCAAATCAAACAGTAAAATTAAACCTCGAGCAATAGGCGAAGAATTTTGGTAAATTGACAAGCGAATTTCCGAAATTCTCGACATTGCTTCGCCAAACCAAATTTTGCAGAAATTTTTCATATTTAAAAAATTTTTTGGAGTTATTTCATTAAAATACGTTATTTCGTTTGTTCTTGTGTGAATTATATTACTGGAAATAAAGTTCGAAATTTTATATTATTGTTTTCTCGAATTGTTTTCGGGGATTTCCCCCATTTTACATTTTAGAGAAACTGAAAAGAACATCCGCGTGATTTGAGAATAAATTTCAACTCGAGGAGAGAAAATAAAAAACTCAGCGTATCGATTGAAGCTTGAAAACTTTCTATTCGAAAACCATCCGCCAATCGTCTGATTAAATTCCTAGTTTCCTGCGAACGTCACAAGTTTCGTTCCAATTGTTTGGTCGGAAAGATTCGGACGGTGCTCCAGCTGGTCTGTCCGGCGCTTACCGGCCGACAGTAAGACGTTGTTTCGAACAAACGGCTTCTGTAACGGGGATGCCGTATGTACGGTATACGGAGAAACCATGGCCCGTCAGGTGTAGTAGGCAGATTTGTAGATAAGATTAGTCGAATATATCAGAGTCGTGCAAGAGTTTCCGAACGTTTCGACTGCGTATCGCTGGTGCGAGAACGAGGACGAGAGGATGTCCGGCTTCGACGAGAATCCCTTCGGGGAGCCTACGATCAACGATCCTTTCTCCGTAAGTAGCTAATCCTCCCGCGTGTGACAGTGACGAAATCGAAACATGTGCGGCCTAGCAGCCTGCAATATTGCTCGCGTATCTGTCAAATCACGTCAGATCCAACATCTCGCCGGTATCTCTTGCTCGCTCTGTTTGTCACGCGAAAACGTTAAATCATGCGCTCCGTCGCACGATTTTGACCCGATAAGTGGACGTCCCGAATAATGATTATTGGATGTGTCATCCCAATGTCGACCAAAATATCCGCCTGCTTGGTGGAAAAATCCGATAAAAAAAAATATTCTTCTGTCGTTGCGCGATCGCAACGTTTTCTCTTCGTCGCGAAGCTAATTAACTGCTGCAAATCGTATAATTTTTATTTTTATGTGTTTGTAACATTCTCGCGTCTGTTACCACACAAATTGTGACGTTGCACAATAAAGTCTGAACATTGCTCTATGCAGAGTTGATTGTATTTTTATTTTAATCACTTCCCTGGAATTTTAATTGCAAAGTGTATTTTGAAAAATAATCTATTCTTTAGTAAGAATTCAGTGAAATATGTTGTTGTTCTGTGTACAATGTACGACATAAGTTTTTTTCATATCTTAAATAATAAGGAAACGAGATAAGATAAGCAATTCTGCGAAGTAAAAACAAAAGAAGAAAGACGAAATGTATTAATATTGAACACAGGACCCTGCCATACGAAGGGCAGTGACTTCTACGCCAGCTAGCAGAGGTCTGGAGGATTATAATCCTTTTGCTGACCAAGGCACTCAGGGTACTACACAAGTCAGAGGGGCGGTGAATCCACCTATCTATGGTGGAGTTGGTGCGACACAGCAACCTGCTACATTGCAACCTACCAATCAAGAAGCACCTCCACCTGCGTACGCTCGCACTCCACAGCAGACAGTTAATGCAGCACTTGGAAGTACTTTGTCACCTCCGTCAGATGTAAATTTCTCCGTTAAATATTGGATTTAGAATGGAATTTCTACTAGATCTTCTTTTTTCGAGAGACGTAAATCTCTCTTTAAGATTGAATATAAGAACTTCATTGTACCTTTCAGCAACGAGCGGAACCAGAATGGAAATCCAGAACAGAGGAAGAAATGAGAAATACGCCCTACTATCGTTAGTGCATTATTTTTATATATAAAATGTGTATTTTTAAATATTTTAACAAAAATCCTGGATATTCTTTGAATAATTATTGAGGTAATTGTTAATTACAGCAAGGCGAAATAATTGGCCTCCGTTACCGGATAAATGTTGTTTTCAACCATGCTTTTATCAGGATATCGATGTCGAGATACATACTGATTTTCAAAAGATTGTGAGGCAATTGTATTACCTCTGGATGTGTAAGCGTTATTAATTATGCACAATAGTGTTTTTTTAATTTTAAATGCTGCGTATACATTTGCGCGTCTCTTTACAGTTCACGGCTGTGTTCTTTTAATGAATGTAATTGGAGGATTTGTTCTGATGCTCTATGGTAAGGGTTTCTCTGCGTTTGGCCTGGCTATCTTATATCTCATACTTTTTACTCCATTCTCGTTCATGTGCTGGTTTAGACCAGCGTACAGGGCTTTCAAGTAAGATAAAAATCCGCTCATAAGAGTCACATATGAAGTTTGAGAAATAGAATTAAACTAAGTTCGCTTTGATCTCTTTCAGGAACGATAGCTCCTTCAACTTTATGGTTTTTTTCTTCGTCTTCTTCTTTCAACTAATTGTCACCAGTATTCAGGCTATAGGTATTCCCGGAGCAGGCACTTGGTAATACATAATTTTCTGTTGCATTTTGGTCATAAACACACCATGGGATATTTATAACACAAATCAAATGTTATGTTTTTTTAGCGGTATAATCATAGCGATTAGTTTGTTCGATTCGACGGCCAAAGGAATCTTCATCGGTCTTCTTATGCTCTTTGTCGCAATTTGTTTCGTCATTGCGGCATGTGGTGATCTTTTACTGCTCACCAAGGTATATGGTTTTTTCATATTAAAAATATATTTTTCTATGATATGATTATTAATTTTTTTTTGTTAATATCTGAAAAGCAAACTCATGGAATTTTGTTTGTTTGTTTTCAGATACATCGCATTTATCGTACGTCCGACGCGAGTGTCACGAAGGCGCAGCAAGAATTCGCTACAACATTTTTGCGAAACGAGCACGTGCAAAGCGCCGCGAGCAACGTCGCGGCGAGCGCGGTTCGCTCCCAGATGGCCAACGCTGCTAACCAACCGCGTTATTAAAATAATTCTATCAACTTTTATTTGTTCCACGACACACTACGTTACACTATGTTCTGGCTTTACATCATTCAGTAAGTGAATAGATCTCATTTTAGTTTCGCTGTTTATAGAAACGCCATTTGTATTGCTAAACGGTACGGGCAATACGCGAATATTTGCTTCGCGGTCGTTAAGTCTCGGATATATCGTTTCATCAACAACGCGGTAATTATATGGCTATATTCTTGCGAAATAACGAACTGCTAACTATCAGTGTTTCGCTAAAGAAAATCTTTCGAAACTGACACGTATTGTGTTTCTAAATACTTTAACACAAAATTACTACATGTCCAAATATTTCTGCACAAGAGGTCGACATGTTTGTGTTTATTATTCGTTATGTTTATTTATAAGCTAATCAAATTAGGATGTACACACTGATGTGAGTGAGCTATTAATAATCATATCTCCATAATGTTATTATTATTACATAATTTTGCTTACATTTATCTGTTTTCATACGTTATAGTAGCGTAGTCCTCATTGACAATGTGATCATGTTATAGGAATGTCACAATGTGATCATGTTATATAGGAGAAAAAATATCACAATAATTAAATTTATTCTAAGTAACTTAAAAAAAAACCTGTCTCTTATAGAACAATTTTACTCGTGTTTGTTGAATATTAACATAAAAAAACGCTAATTTGTGAATATTTAGAATTTGTTTTTGGAAACCTTGTAAAATTCTACTAAACATTCCTGTTTTATTAATTAAATCACGTTGTTTTACGATGATTGTTTTATTGAACAAATCTTAGTTTTGAGAATGTCTTGGATGAAATAATTCGAAGAAAAAATTTAAATTTCATTAAAAAATGTTCATAAGAAATTTTATGTGAGCTGATTTTTATAATTTACATGTGAGCATCAAGGGATAATAGTTATTGTAAAAACTTTAGATATGCATACTTTTCCGATAGAATAATTAAAAATTCGATTGTTATTTGTTTGCAAGCGAAGTGTATGAAAAAACATTTAATTTGCATATTCTCTCCTTATATGAGATAATAATACTAATAAAAATAATACCAAACACAATTAAAATTCCTAAAATCAATCGTTACAACTGTAATTATAAATGTAAGTAAGAAAAATAAAAATCACATTTTATAAAATGGCATAATAGACATGTTATATAATTAATTGATATTATGAACAATTTGTTTAAGTCTCGGTTGTAATATAAAGATTAATATTTATATGTATTCTTGTAAATCGAGTTTTTTGAGTAAGTCTTGTGCTGTAAAAACACGTTAAAATATCAATATAAAGAAATGTTAAAAGAAAGGAACTTTGTTCCGCGTGCGTGTTACCTTTAGAATGATATGTCGCAATTGGATTTATTGGAAATGGACAGCCGACGTCGGAATTGTCCAAATTGGTTTCAATCAATTCCGCTGCAGTCACAGCGTCAACAACTTCCACCTCATTTCGAAACATGAGTTTTGCATGACCTTCCGCTAATCTGAAGAAAATTGTTTTTTACTTTAAATTCGTATTTACTAATTTCTTTTAGCATAGGTGGAACTGATAAACAAGAAAGAAATTTTTCTTTCTCGTACATTGATGACTAAGCGAATAATAATATACACACCTGATAAGACTATCTAAAAGTCGTACTGTTGTTCTTTCAGGCCTTCTTAACGGATTTGATCTGTGATAAAGATAAGTTGCGCTAAGTATTCTCTTTGCTGCTTCAGTTAGCACCGGCTTCAATGCGCGCACATGCGCGAAATATTCACAGAGAGTCTCTTCCGTCCACAAGCCAGTTAGATTTTGCGGACCCATGTATGTCTCGAAAAATCTACAACAGCATTTCATCATGCAATCTGTAAATTGCGAGAAATCTTGATGTCATAAAAGAGAAATGGGTATAAAAAAAAAAAGAAATATTTATTACAAATTGTTTCCTTCCTCTTCGCAGGCCATTTTCAAGATGTGACTCGATGTCATTTTGTCCCATTCGGGATTTCTGTTGTCTTTCAGAAGAAGTATCAGATCGAAACGCGACAAGAGAGGATTTCCCAAGCAGGTTTTCCAATCCGTACCCTTGAAACATCCACCGTCCGGATTGGTGGCTGCGATGATGGAACAGCGACAATTTAAGGTGCTCAACATGCCGGCTTTGGCTATAGAAATTGTTTGTTGTTCCATCGCTTCGTGTACAGAGGTTCTGTCGTGCGAGCTCATTGTCGTGAACTCGTCCACGCAACACACACCACCGTCGGCGAGTACCAAGGCGCCGGCTTCTAAATGCCAACCGTCTGAATCCTACAATCTTATCTCTCGCAGTATATCGCGCAAAAATAATTTATATAAGTGGAAACTATAAGTAAGACAATTTTAACATGTACTAACTTTAACAGCAGCTGCTGTGAGTCCAGCAGCAGTGGTACCGATGCCAGTTGTAAAGACGGATCGTGAACTCAATCGGGACGCAGCACGAAGCAATTGCGATTTGCCAGTGCCAGGATCTCCTATCAGAAGTAGATGAGGTTCACCTCTTACGCGTGTTCCCGTTTCGCTTGTTTTTGCCACACCACCGCACATAACAACGGCCAATGCCAATTTCGTAATATACATCCCGTACAACTATCATCCGAGAAAAACGCAGAACGCTTATTAAAAGAGATTTGTGTTACAGGTTTAATATTGCAAGGCGTTATTTTGTAATATGTAAATGTAAATTTAAGTGTATATACTTGGGGACAGATAGAAGCGAGAATATTGTCTCTGCCGGCTAACGCGTTATCTCGATAATGTTCCCAGTATGCCGTAAAAGTGTCTTTTAACTCGGCAGTGGAAAATGTCGCCTCTGAGACCTTTCTGCGAACAGAAACGCTATTTGCCATCAGAAACGTCGTGGCTTCCGCACGTTGGCCCACTTTCAACGTAACCCAGTTTCGTATAATTACTCCGCTGCAAATAATTTTACAAGTAATTTAGTTTTTACCCAGTTGGAATAATTACAATTTCGTTTTTCTCCTCCTTTTTAAGCGATATATCAACCTGATGTCTACGTTATCTCCGGGTCTACATTTGTCAACAAGATCGTCCAACAAAACTATCTGTAGTCCCACTGAGTAACAGCTTCTTGTATCTGTTTTACACTTATCCTGTATAAAAATATCGATTAGTGCATATTTGATGTTTAAGAACACACACAATACTAATATAATTTTAAGATACGCGAAATTTTCTCTACATACTTGAATCTTCATTTCTTGATAATCTGAACAATCACCTTGTTGCAAGGATGTTGCGACTGTTACATTTTGCGACCGACACGATTCGCAGTGTTTAACATTTCTAAACATTCGTCTTTCCCACTCCAACTAGAATCAATATAAGTGAACTTAAAATTCATTGTATCTCACAGATATTAGACTTTACTTACTTTGGCAACATTGACATAGCTGCACTTCTTACAGACAAAACGCTTCTTCAGGTTTATAACACTAGGCTGGGACATACGCACTACGATTCCGGATGTCGAAATCAGCTCGCCAATCTGACCTGTGTCGATTTTCAATGGCACCGCAATAATTCTGACGTGAATCTGCACATTGACAGTAAAACAGAAACTGAATTATCAACAAAAGCATGTACCAATAATTGTCAACAGTAAAACCAAATTTGCAATGTGTCAAACTAGAATTAATTCACACGTAAGTGAACTGATGCCACTAAAAATTCATACTCTGGTTTTTACTATTTGGATTCCTTCGCACAGCCTTTCCTGAGCTCTGATCGCTGCCTCATCACACAGTGGTAAATAGTGTCTGGGATTTCGCAGGATCTTCTCTGCATTTTCTGTATCAGCTTCGAACAGCGACACAAAGCTGGAAGATTCGAGCGTATAAAGAATAATATAACAAATTTATATTACACAGAATTTCGTTAAAAAGTGCTGATGAAGAAGCAATTTACTTCACATATATCGAGTAGACCAGATTATCCTCTGCGGCATTTAAAATCTCTTTTATATCTTTCTCGTGATGCTTTAGAAGATAATCTTCAAGCATGTCGACGGCTTGCAGCAATGTGTCAACTATAATTTTTTATTGTTAACAGTGTACCTATAAATTAACACTTTTGCAGGAAGTAGGAAATGGGGTTATTTATTTATTGTGCCTTCAGCCAACAGTTATTAAACTTTTTTAACACTTTTATGAGAAATAACATATCGCAACGCATGTACACACTCCAAGACCTGTCAACCTGTCAACCTGTGTCACACGTGATCATTCGCAGTTGTTTTCCCGCCAAATAACTGCGCACAAATGCAGCCACTATGTGAATTTCATATTCCTCTAGATTTCAGATCTTTTTCCCTAGCGTGAACTCGTGCAGAAAGTGCAGTTTGTGCAAAGCGCGCAACTTTACGCATGCGCCGCGCAGTTCGCGCCAAATAAGATGTCCCGCGTACGTACCGCCGCGTCTGCAAAACGATCGCGTGTTTTTCGATTAAACTAAGAAAAGTGGAAACAGTAAGAGAATAAATTTGAATTACAATAAAATAACATGTGTTCGGTGTGCAACGTGCGTGTATTGTCACGAGAAACGAGGGGTTTGACAAGCGGCGGCTGATCAGAAACTTTCCCGACTGCAGTGCGATACATCCACCTCCATTCACTCCGGATTCTTCCAGGATTCTATCAAAGGTATGAATATTCATTCTCTTTATTGTTTTTAACGTATAAAGTAAAGAAACAAAAACGCATAAGAACATAATTTCTACTTTCTTGTCGTCTCTTTCGAAACTACGAAAGTTATAATATAATAGAAGGGCAAATTGTGTAGCGCAAAATTGTTGCGCGAAAAACATTGTTATTTATATAATCATTTAATTTATAATTTAATTCATGTGTTTTATACATATTCATAGGTTTTTTATTTCAATAAGAGAACAATTGACACATTCTCGACAGATATTATTCGTTTCGAAAGAGCGCGACTACATCATGTTGGCGTTGATATACACAGAGAGCGCAGGGGCAGTAGTCTGCTACTAAAACACTATCAATGCCACAGGGTCGTCAGCTCTGTCAGTTAAACGCTTGAAATTCCATTTGAGCCGAAAAGCGCTCTCTAACGCGCGCCGCGGTTCGAGAGTCGGTCGCAGTTTCGATTACTTTTCGCCAAACCGCATCGGCGACTGACCTCCATTAATCGATCGCCGTCGTCCGTTCGTTCCATAATTCGCGCGTCGCGGTTTTCTGCGGGACTCTGCGGCAAAAGTTTTTCCACAACAGCGGAAACCTTTTCTGATTTTTATCAAGCGGGACGGAAATGCAGACAAGAGAGAGAGAGAGAGAGAGAGAGGGGAAGGTCGAATTCAATGGGGTCGATCGGGAAAATAGTATAGTAAATGTTGTTATCGAATATATAAACGCGAATGAATATTCCGGGGTTTTTCCCACATATTTGAGTTAATAATATTTGAGTTACGATGACATCGGTTGTTTCGCTCGTTCGAACCGCACGGCCGAAGAAAACGGATATGTCGGTGGGAATTTACACGCGGCAATAATAATACACGCTGTATGTACAGTCGAATAAGCGCGTTTCTCTTTCTCTCTCGCTCGACTTTTCCGCGCTTTTCACGTCACGTTTTATGAACATGTTTCCTTTATTTATCGCTTATCGCGGAAAGTGCAAATACGTAGAACAATACGGCACATCATCAATCTCTGCAAGAAAGAAAGGGCGATTTTCTTGCTATATCTCTAAACATTATACAATCTTCACACAGATATTTTTAATCGTTAAATTGAAGAATCAAGTTATTTTAAGAAAACGCCGTCTGGGAACAAAGCGCGTCCCAATTGATCAACATTTTATGCAATTTGGAATGCGCAGCTCATCTTTTTATTTGTCGACTTTCTCATCCAAGACACCATTTCTTTCTCGGATTTGACAGCCGGAAGGTATTTGATTTAAATTGGAGTGCGACATTCTCTCTTTCTCTCTCTTTCTTAAATAGAGATAATGTACATAAAATATATTACGTCTGTATTGGTTTTACGATGTCATTAGTAACGATTCCCTTTACGACCTGTTTCTGAGTTATAAATTACTGGGCGGATACACGGCGTTGCGAGAGAAACAGTGTAATTAGCGTTACTGTGCGCGCAACCATATATATATGTGTACATATATATATATATATATATATATATATATATATATATATATATATATATATATATATATATATATATTATATGCAGGATGTATAATTGGTCTGCACACGATCAAAACTTGCCTCATCCGTTTTGTGTTCTAACGTCGCGAACTTAGGTAAGATCTTGTGATCTCCGCCGCGAATGTTCAAAGCAGCCTCCGCGTTTCAAATTTATTCTTCGCTTCTCATTTCCGTCGTGTTTCGCATTATTTACGGACATTAGACTAAAACCGCGTACACTTGTAAAGCGTATTACTACTAGGGAACGTGTATAGTACATATAAATATTTTTAGAACATATATTTTAATAAGATATATTTCTACACACGACAAGAGCAACGTTGTACATCTCTTCGCAATTTTTTAACGCTACTTTCTTTGTGTAAGAGAACGCGACACGATCGGCTCTTCCGATTTTTCCCACGGCGTTAACGATACGATTTGATTTCGAGACCGAGGAACGCGACAGCGGAGCTGAGCGATGAATTCGTAACGAGACGCAAACCGTTTTCCGCATTGAAATTTCTCTTCTTCAGCCCCGCGCCCAACAATAACGACGGAATCCGTTCGCTCGAACGGACGTCTATTCTTGTGTACTTGAGATTCCGCGAAACGCAAATTTTCGCTCCGTCCGATTGAGCGGTGTAGCGCGTGGTAAAATCGCTGGGGGGTTTAAGTTGCGCGAATGTATGTGTGTGTGTGTGTGTATACATATACACCTGTATATCGCGCATTTCCTGCAAGCACAATTCCATATAAGTTGTTGTCAGCCGCAGGCGGCGGTTGGAAATTATAAGAAGTTGAATGGCGCGTCGGAGAATGTCCAGAAAAATATCGCCTTCTTCCCCTCCAAACCATTAACACGAAGTTTATTATTTGTTGTTCGTTGATACACCTGTCGAACAGGCTGCGTCGCGAACGTGGAAAATGACAGATTCGACAAAAATATACGTGAAAATATAGGTAATTAATGTTTGAAACAACAAGCGCGAGAGAACGCTTATTCTGCAAATTGGAAAATATCACGTTTGCAACGAGATAAAATATTTTTAATAATTGATACGATTTGTATTTCGGTTTACTCTTAGCCCCCGTGCTATATATACGTTTTCCATTTTCCATGTCTCTCGGGTTTTTGTCCGTTATAAAATATGGTCGACGACCGATAATTATTGAACTTGCCACCGACGATACGCACATTATTTAATTTCAAATTAATGTAACGTTCTTTTGCACATCGCTCGAGCTCGCGCTCTTTTATGTGTCGTTTCGTCTTTGGTGTCCGGTACGCGTATTTTGCGAAATTATTTGCCGACGGGCGTACACTAGCGCTTTTCGCGTAATTGCGACGTATAATGTCATTAAAAAAAAAAAAGGAAAAAAAAACCAACATTCATACGTTACACACAAATATGAGAGAAAATGCGCGGATCGAGTAAATTTTGAGAATTATGTTTTGGAATATTATTTTCCTTGTTACGCAAGAAACTCACTCTGATGTTTAACTCACAGACGTATTTTATATATATTATCCGAATTCTCTGTATCAATTTCGCTGATATTTTGCACCGCTCAACATTGCTTTTGAGAAACACGACCTTTTCCTTTGCCCGACATATCGCATTAACCAAATATACACGCCCGAAAGTTCGACGAACGTAATGACACAAAAAACCACGTCAGGATTTTTCTAAATTTCAGCTGCTCAACTCGCGCTCTTCCGACGAAATTTGTGAAACATTTTATTAATATATTGTTTAAAAAGAAAAATTGCGTTAGTCGCTTGCGTATCGAAATAAATGCATTATCCCAGAAAATGGATTTTCGATATATTTTGAATTTTCTCTCCCGCATACACTTCCTAAATTATTTCACATCACATGAATAAAGGCTACACAAATGGCTAATATTTAATTCAGTTTTGATTATATAGCTAATATTTATTGCAGTTTGTATTGTTAAAAAATAGAACAAAAGAGATCTGATGTTTTCGGTACGTAATAAAATTTTTGGGTCATTTCGTATTATCGTACATCATTTCTATAAGGTGCTATTAAATATTCTCTATCCACGCCAGCACAATAGTTATATATCCTTGTGTGTGTGAAAGAGAGAGAGATTTATATTATCGCCTCTAGTGAATTTAAAAACTACTTGTCGTCGATCAATTATCGTAAATCACGTCGAAAACAAACACGAAATATCTTCATCACGGTTTTCGAAAGCGATTAGGAAAGAATATCTATCTCTTAGGAGGGGGAGGGAAGAGGGGAGAACCGTGTCTTTTCCAAATGATTTAAATGCCATCGAAACCTGCTTACGCAACCATAAAAAAATTGCTCGGTTGTTCCACTTGGCAAGTAAACCGACGACAGTTAGTTTTCACGGAGACGCCGCGCGTGTGTGTTCAGATTTTCTATAACAATTTTAAACATTTTACGTTGCTGCGAGATACTTCGAGTTATTCAACGATTTTATATTTTATCGCGCAAAACATCATTCGGGGTTTCTATCGAAGGGCAGAGTACGATCGGACGAAAGGACGGGAATATCTTGACAAGGGACGGCGGCGGATAAGAGACGGTCGTGTCTCTTGTCCGGCAAGGACGTTCCACGTCCCGCCGCGGATCTCTCCCACGTCGCTCTTTAATAATACATCTCGGAACACCCCCGTTAATCACACCGCGATGAAATATAATTTAATACCTCACCGAGACCGAGGGACGACCACTAAAAATGACGAACGGCCGGGAAACACGCGGCAAACGTGCCACCTACAAGCGAGATCCCCCTTAAGCGCGCCACCTCGGACGTGCAATAACGATAAAGGGTTGGGTATTCGTGAACGACCCTTCTGGTATGGGCACTTGTGAAAGAGCGTATGTGGGCTGTACATTACATTCGGTCCACTCCGCCGCACTCAATAGCCTCCCAATTCGCAGGATTCCTTCGTGTATATATAGAGAACGGATCGTTCTCTTCTTCACCGAATGGTGATGGGACAAATTCGGAATAGAAAGCGAGAGCGGGAGAAGAGAGGAGGGACAGAGATGCTCAGTCTG